TTTAGTGGAGGATTTAATTTTGGCCACACTGGGGTTTACCTGGAAGATTTGTTTCCCATTTCACCCAGGGATAAGGTCTCAGGTCCTACTCTTGGTGACCACACTTCAGGGTCCCCAGTAGCAGGACAGACATACCTTGGAGACATTGTGGGTTCCCGATCGCCGCAGTGAGTGACGGTCAGAGTAAAGCAAGTCGCAGGCATGTTTTGGCTCCTGCTGCACCTAACAGTTATGATTGCGTTGTCCTGCCACCTGCTACGTGTGCAGTAGCATTGGTCTAAAGCCCAATATCCTGTGGCTGGTGTGGCTAGTTGGCTGAGCACCTCACCAAGCTCTGGGAGTCACGGCTGGGATTCCTGGTCAGGCACAGGCCTGGGTTTATGGGCTTGATCCCTAGTAGGGGGTGTGCAGGAGGAGGTGATCAATTTTTTTCTCTCCCTGTCTCCCTCCCTCCCTCCCTCTAAAAAAGTCAATAAGACATTTTAAAAATTTAAAAACCAAAGTATATACCTTAATTTAAAATACTTTATTGTTACTTGGGGTGGTGAGCACATGGTTCATAGACATGCGCGCCTGAAACCTATGTGACCTTACAAACCAGTCACCCAGTAACTATGATTTAACAAATGTAAACACATAAACCCTTTATTGCTATATGCTAACGATCATCTGAGCCGTTAGCACAGGGGTAGGACCGTCGCCCTTCGGGCCCCATATAGCTTGCAGAATCCTTTGGTCTGGTCCTGCCAAGGCATTGGGGTGGGTTAAATGTGTGACCAGTTTGTAACTTTGTGTGGTCCACGAATGATGGTATCAATATCCAGATGGCCCTGGCAGACAGGTTCCCTATTCCTGCAGGTAGCACGTGGCTGTCTTCTAGCTGGTGGAGGGGTCGCCCTGTGTGAGGCTGAGGCTTACAGGGGCTGCTGGAGGCGGAGTGGCTGCGGGATGCCTGACAAGAGGGCAGCAGTGAGCTTCTCGAAGGACTGCCTCCCTCCTTAGCCCCTCCTCTCACAAGCACCTGCCCGTGGCCTGTGGCCCATGGACAGCACTGATCCCCAGAGGAGGCTCTTTCACCATCAGAGCCGCCTGTCTCAGCTCAGCGTGTGGTGCTCCCAGTCTCAAGGTCATTATTGCAGCCCTCAGGGCCTCTGCACCAGGAGGACTTCTCAAGAAACCTCTTTCTCGCCCTAACTCAGAGGTCAGCTAAACTCATTAGTCTACAGAGCCAAATATCAACAGTTCGACGATTGAAATTTCTTTTGAGAGTCAAAATTTTTAAACTTAAACTATATAGGTAGGCACATTGTTATTAACTTAATTAGGGTGCTCCTAAGCTGGCCTTTGCTAAAATCTCAAGGGGCCAAAGAGCCGCATGTAGCTCGAGAGCCGCAGTTTGCCAACAACTGCCCTAACTGGTTTGGCTCAGTGGATAGAGCGTCGGCCTGCAGACTGAAGGGTCCCAGGTTCGATTCCGGTCAAGGGCATGTACCTTGGTTGAGGGAACATCCACAGTAGGGGCTGTGTAGGAGGCAGCTGATCAGTGTTTCTCTCTCATGGATGTTTCTAACTCTCTATCCCTCTCTCTTCCTCTGCAAAAAAATCAATAAAATGTATTAAAGAAAAAAACCGCTTTCTCTGCTCATCATAAGCAGCAGCTCCTCACTCTTGAAGCCCTCTACGAGGCCCGAGGCTGCAGTGACTCAGTCCGCAGGCTCCTGCTGATGGCCGTGAGCTTCCACCTGCTGGCACTTCCTCACTGAGGTCTGGAACCTGCGAGTCAGCCACGCCTGGCTCCATCCTTCTGGATTCTTACCTCTTCTGTGGCTCCTCGCGCTCCCGGGATTGGAATGGGGAGCCCTTTCCAGAGGTTTCTGTTCGGCTTCGCCAGGTCCATGCGGAGGCGCTGCCTACACAGGCGTCGTTGTACGGAGCGCAGTTCTAAGCTGGGGGCTTAGGCATCCCAGAAGTTCACTGATTCAGCAGCAAAACAAGAGCGTGTCATTGAGTCTAAAATGGTTCAAAGTAGTGTTTTTTCTTGAGCAAGATGTCATAACTGATTTCCACTCCAGTTATGTTGGTTTTGTAATTTTTCTCTTGGGTTTTATTCTGAGACTGATGCCTAGGAGCCTGGGCTGGTTAATTTTAAAGAACATGCCATCCCCTCCTTTGACCAAATAACCTGAACTTTGTTCTAAAATCTTTCCTGCTTAGTTTTGTTCCCCTTGGGTTAAATTGTCAGGGAGTTTAAATGGTATAACTTGTTTGTTTGGGTCAAAAATTTTAATTTTGGCTAATTCAGTGAGGTGTAATGATAATAACCTCAGCTCTAGCTGGGATTGCCAAGTGAGACTTGGTCTCCTTTGCCTCCCTGTTCACAGTCACACAAACGTATAAACTGGTTCAGAAAACGGAAACTTCCATTCTAGTGTGCATTCCCTTACACGTTCGGTGGTGAACAGGGAGGGCCCCTCTGTTCCCCTGCCCCGGTGGTGAGTCCTGGGGAGGCCTGCTGGGAGGAAGGCCAGCTCAGAACGTGGCCGGCGTACGACTCATCTCTAGCAGGTGTGCAGTCCCTCTCTTCACGTAGTTACTGCCATCAGGAAGGAGAGAGAACGTAGGTACCAGCAGTTTAAATCAACATTTTAAGGAGTTGTTAAAAAAAAGTTACTAATACGCACCCCTGCGTGCTCAGATGGCGGGTGGGCTGCTGCGTCACTTGGTTCATACACAAACCGGAGTTGCTTTTGAACATTACCACTGTTCTCTGGTCTCCCGCCCCCAGCGCTGGCAGCCAGGGGAGGCAGCAGAGAACCCTGCCCGCCTGGGACAAAGGCCTTTTCTGGGAGGCTTGACTTCCGCTGGCTGGAGTCCAAAATGCTAATTGGCATCAGCTGCACTGAAGCACTGTGTGGGCCAGCAGCTGCCGGCCCGGGAGGCATCCAGCAGGGGCCTTACCTTTCTTTCCAGAATGTCCTCTCACCTCTCTCAGTTACCTAAACTCCAGTGCTTCTTCCTGCCTGTGCGTCTTTTGCCTCACGGGAGGGGAGTGGAGAGCAGGCATTTGGACAGCCTCCCCCCGGGCTGCACACACTGGTCTTGCCAGTCTGCCCGTTCCTCTCCTTTCATGTGGGGCTTGTTGTTTAAAATCCCAGTTCTCATCTGTTCTCTGTTGTGTCTCCTGTGACAGGTGGTGGTGGTGGGGTGTATTTAAATGTTGGGCTGAGACCACCAAGCTTGTTCTTAACGAATGGTTAAAGGAGGTGTGAACTCGGAGCTCAGTTCATTATTGCTGTATCTAGAGACAACACAAACCCCGTGTTAGCACCATCAGCCCTCACTAGAGTTCCAGCTGTCCCGGCTCCAAGTCCATGGCAGGTCCTGCCTCTCGATGCTGTCTCTCGTTACTGGGTGAGAGTGAGGTACTGTGCGCCTTTTACCTGGTCAGATGGGTGATAGTCACTGCTCTAATCATAGCGAGAGGAAGGATGGATGCTCCCAAGTCATGGATTCATCACATGGTGTCTCCCAGCCCCTTAGCTTCTGGGACTCAGGCCGCCCTGCGCCCAGCATGTTTGCCAGCCTGCACATGGTGTTTCACTCTGGGGAGGGGAGCCCTGAATGTAGGCCTGCAGGGAGTTTAAATGGGTAAGAATTCACTGTGGTTGGAACCAGTTCTCGGAGTCCTTCATGATCCTCTGTTGTTCTCAGGCGCTCCGCCTGGGAGCAAAGAAGCAGCGTTTGCTCTGCCCTGGGGGACACTGCAGGCCCTGGGTACCTGCCGCTGTGAGGGCGGGCTCAGTGCTGGAGGAGAACTGAGCCTGCACAGCGCACGCAGCTGCTCGAACTTCAGAAGCAATTGCCTGCTCTTCCCACCAACAAAATTATGATCAGTGCTTTCCTTTTCCTTTTCTACCTCAGCATTGTTCCTTTTGTTTTTCTATAGTCTTTATAGCCCAGCTCCTGTAGGTTTACTGATCAGTATAAAGAGAAAATACATATCTCCAGTTCGCTTCCTAACAACCTAGTCCGTGTGAGGAAAGTGGAGGTCGGATTTTCGGGCTGATGTGTTTCACGGTGGCCTGTCCCGAAGTGACGCATGCCTCCAACAGGAGCACGGTTAAGGACTGCTGTTAGGAATCCTCCCCTCAGCCAGCCTCATGAGGGACACTCTGGGCTGCCCAGGAGCCCCTGGTGCTGGGGCCACGTGCTGGCTCAGAGGAGAGCAACTTCGTGCGCCCTGTGCCCATGCCATGGTGGCAGCTCACTGCCTCCCCTGTGTAGGGACTGGGACAGAGCCCAGGAATGCGCTGTGGGTGGACTGGGCTTCTAGTTCCACTCGGGCCTGGCCCTGTGTGCAAGCTGATGTTTTAGTAGAAGTTCCTTTGAAGAAGGCTGTGCTGTAACCACCTTAGCCAGGCTGCACACTGGTTCTGTTCAGAATTAAGGTAGCATCCTAGTTATTCAGTGTCACATTTTTTATTGTTACTTTCAACATGGCCCTGTTGAAATCACAGATGAAGTGATATGCATTTGGTGTGATTTTTTTTTATAAGGAGTCCCTGCACGGGCTGCCACAGTGACTGTACTGGCCACGGAACTCTGCTCTTATTTACAGTTATGACCTCGTGAGTCACGTGACAGCTATGCCTACAAAATATCTGTAATATGCTCATGCGAGGGTCAGTCTGAAGCCACCATTTGAGAATTGCTTTTCTAAGATGATTCCATGTTTGTTATGTGTTTGGTTTCTAACTCAGTGGTGTACAACTGGAAGTTTCTCTTTAAAAGATAGTTTCTTCCCTTGCTGTTCTGGCTCAGTGGCTAGAGCATCGGCCCACAGACTGAAGGATCTCAGGTTCGATTCCGGTCAGGGCAAATCCCCAATTCTTGATGTGAAAATAGAATGGACTGGAAACTTCTGTCGTTGCCTGTGGGGAGGGAAGTAAAGTCGTGCACATTATCAGAAGCCACACATTCTGTTTTTATTTTTTCTTAAGGATGAAGAGGAAGAAATCAAACTGGAGATAAATATGCTGAAGAAATATTCTCATCATAGAAATATCGCCACATACTACGGTGCTTTCATTAAAAAGAGCCCCCCTGGACACGACGACCAGCTCTGGGTAAGCACCATGTCCTTCGGGGGTGTCTTATGGGGGGCTGTGTGGGAAGCAGTAGGAACTTCCAGAGTGGGAGAAAGCAGAGGAAAGGGGCTGGTGTCTGGGACCTTTCTTGGTGGACACTGTACTAATGTTTATTTCACTTTGCCTGGAAAAGAGGTAAATTTGTGTTTCAGGAATAAAATGGCATGTTTTAAAAGCAATGTAATTAAAGAGCAAGAAAATTAAGATCTTGAAAATACCAAAAAAAAAAGAAAATTAAAACTTTAATAACGAAAATTAACCAGATAACTGCTATGCGTCCAATATGGAAACCATCCTTGTGTCTATAGACACTTATGTGTACAAAGGGTTATTAATATGGAAGCAGTAACTGAATGCATCTTTCTTTATTACCTGGAAGTGAGAGACAAATCACAAGAAAACAGACATATTAGTAATTTTTAATAGTATTGGTAATAATAGTTAATTAAAAACAATAAATTTGGGAGAAACCAAGATGGCGGCATAGGGTAGACACCTGAATGCAGCCTACCACAATTTTGAATTTACAACCGGAAAACAAGAAACATCGCCCTGAAGCGCCGGACAGCTGGCTAAGAGGAGGTCTACCACCTGGGAAGGGGAGAGAAGGGATGCTGAGCCTCAGGAACTGTGAAGGTGCGGAAAACTGCGTGCAAAAAGGCAGCGGCGAGTTCCCTGCTGGATTGCTTGTGGCACTCGGAGAGGGTGGGCCAAGTTTGCTGCTGGCTTACTTTCAGCGCGCGGAGAGGGCACACAGCTAATGCGCGACTGGCTTTCTTGTTCAGGAGGAAAACAAAACAGCCCTATTGCTCTGATAGATGGCCCCAGTCAGGAAGAGGCCACTGTCAGGCAGTGGGCAGAGATCTCTTGGAGGTGGGTGAAGCCAGCAGCCATTACTGTGGGACTCAGGAACCGGAACTTTGTAGGGAGGGGCTGACGGGAAACCAAAGCTTGTCTGCACCACCCCGAGACTCTCCCCCATCCAGGCGAAACACAGAAGCCCTCCAGGAGGCTGGCTTTCTCGTTGGGGAGAAAAAAAAACACAAAAAACTCCCGACTACACTGAGAGACAACTCTGAGCCGGGGAAAAACTAGCTGTCAGGGACCGGGCAAAACTTGAGAACAGCTTTTACCCAAGAGGTGCATGCACCAGCAACCAATCTTGTGGGGCTGCGAATAGGACTTTCCTAAGGTGGGACTGACAGCTAACCAAAGCTTGTCTGCGCCACCCCAAGATTCCACCCCATTCAAGCGGAGCACAGAAGCCCTCCTACTTGAGACACTGCTGATCCTCACAGCCAATTGGCTTGGAGATCAACGTTTCCCAGTGATACCAACAACAAGCAAGTCTTAACAACAAGACTGCACACACAGCCCACAAAGGGCTGCACCAAGACTGTATACCTCAAGTAACTGGGAAGGCTATGCTACTGGGCTCTACCAGAACACCTAGCACACAAAAATATTCCATTAAATCAGGGAAGCAGCTAAAATGCAGAGAAGAGGCAGGATACAAAGGAAGGAGTTGGAGGAAAGTAAAAGAATGGACATTGAGTTCAAAACTACAGTTATAAGGCTTTTTAAGAATTTCTTTAAAAAGGCTGATAAAATAAACGAGACCTATGAGGATATGAAAAGGGATCAACTAGAAGAAAAAAAAAAGGGGGGATCAACTCGAAATAAAGAATACTTTGTCTGAAATAAAAAATATTATACAGAGTCCTAAAAACAGACTGAAAGATCACAAGAATCAAGTCAAAGATTTGGAACACAAAGAGCCAGAAGACACTTCTCTGCAGAAGCAAGAAGGCAAGAGAATCCAGAAAATTGAAGATAATGTAAGAAACCTCTGGGACAACTTCAAGTGAACCAACATCAGAATTATGGGGGTCCCAGAAGAAGAGAGAGAGCAAGAAACCAAAAACATATTGGAAGAAATAGTGACAGAAAACTTCCCCCACCTGGTGAAAGAAATAGACTTACAACTCCAGGAAGCGCATAGAACCCCAAACAAAAGGAATTCAAAGAGGACCACACGAAGACACTTCATAATTAAAATTCCAAGAGCAAAAGACAGAGAATATTAAAAGCAGCAAGAACAAAGCAGGTAGTTACCTATAAAGGAATACCCATATGATTGTCAGCTGATTTCTCAACAGAAACCATGCAGGCCAGACGGGAATGGCAAGAAATATTCAAGGTGATGGATAGCAAGAACCTACAGCCAAAAATACTCTACCCAGCAAAGCTATCACTCAGAATAAAGAGCTTCACCAATAAAAAAAAAAGCTAAAGGAGTTCATCACCACCAAACCAGAATTATATGAATTGCTGAAGGGGGTTCTTTAGGAAGAGGAAGAAGATAAAGATAAAAATTATGAACAACAAATATGTAACTATCAATAAGTGAAACTAAAACCCAAGGGAATTAAAAAATCTGATGAACAATATTAACTGGTGAATATAATAAAATCAGAGGTATGGAAGAGGAGTGGACTGACAATTCTCAGGGAAAAGGGGAGTGGGGGTGCGGGAAGAGACTGAACAAAAAAAATGTACCTATGGATGAGGACAGTGGGGGGTTGGTAAATGGCAGAGGATGGGGTGGGAACCTGGTGGAGGGGAGCAATGGATGGGGGTGGAGGGAGAGGAGCATTTGTAATAATCTGAACAATAAAGATTTATTTTTTTTAAAAAAACAAATTCTAGGAAATTTCTGGACTTGACACCTTTATATTTCTCCCATCTTCACCACAGGTATATTTAAGATATGGGGCAGAGACTGTGAGAAATATGGTCATCACATAGTTACGCCAAAGGCTCTGGACGTAGAGAGCAGGAATAGAGATTTAATTCTTTTCCTACGTTTAAAAAAAGCCATTGAAGACAATTTGCAAAATTAATAAAATGCAAGGGAAAGTTAATTTCATTTCAATTGCCCAAATGTCATCATAGTTAAAATTTTAGTTCAATTCACTTGATTTTTCAGGTACTTAAAAAATATGCTTATGTCCTTGTTCAAACATTTAGATACAGTATATATAATACAGTTTTTAAAACTATGTGTTACTTAAAACTAGCATTTCTTCTTGGTCTAAACACAGTCAATGTAAAATAGTTTGAGAATCATAATAGTCTGATTTGGGCACATGAGAAACGATGTTCGGGAGTATTTGTACCAGGTTTCTGATAATTGGGCATTAGTTAAGAACAAAATGGTCCTCCTGTTCCTGTGTGCTTGGGAGAGAAAGGCCACGGCAGCACCCGTGCGCCAGGGGGTGAGGTGCGGCAGAAGCCTCAGTGGCCTGCACCAAATGTGCACAGTTAGTAATTGGATGGTGACATGCTCTCTGTAATTCAAATGTCTCCAAAATGAACATGTGCCTGGATCTTCAGGAAGGGCAGATGGAGGTCAGACTCTTGGGAGTGCGAGTGCCCAAGCCCCTGCCTGCCCCAGGCGTGTGAGTCTCAGTGTGTGTTTCCGCCCACAGCTGGTGATGGAGTTCTGTGGGGCGGGGTCCATCACAGACCTGGTGAAGAATACCAAGGGGAACACGCTCAAGGAGGACTGGATCGCGTACATCTCCAGAGAGATCCTGAGGGTAAGGACAGGCACGGCTCTGGTGCCCACGGATCTTGCATTTGCATTTTCACTTTCCTTGGGCTCTGTATGGCTAGCTGGCTTTGATAGTTTAAGCTAGTACATCACGGTTTTGATCTAAAGAATCAAACTATTCTGGGAAGAATCTAAAGAAAGTAGATTGAAAGAGGAAATAACTTTTCTTGTGTCTCCCTGAGTTCACCTCCAGATGTTGAGAAAGTCAGACTGGAGGGGAGAGAAAGAGCCCATGCGTGAGCTGCGGGCCAGCCAGTGGTGCCGAGAGCTGGCCCTGGTCGTGGAGCTGGGCGCTCGCTGCTGGTCCATGCATGAAGGAACAGTCCGGTGTTACTGCTACCTATAGCCAACTGGAGGCTTGTCTTGTGCTCTTAGAGGAAGTGTCCGCGCTGCTGTTACAGCAGCTTCTGAACACCCCCTGGGGGCAGAGCCGCACTGACCACAGCCCGGGGCCTCCGTGCTTGCCCCTGGACTACACACATGAATGACTTGGTTTGATCTCATTTACCACCATGCTCCACTGAGTTAAACTGGAATCTAATTGCTAGGCTTCTCTCGTTAATATAAAAAATGGTTACTTTTTATTTGTAGGTGAATGTACCCCCATTTTTATATTGAAGTTTCATAGAGGACTACAGGTTTTAAAATGGCAAGTGGAATTCATAGGGATAGGTTTTAATTTCTTTTTGTTTAGATACTAAAAGCCCAGTGAACGGATTCGTGCCCTAGTGGATTGGCCTGGCCTGCACCCTCTCACAATCCACAATATGGGACCCCTCGGGGTATGTCGGAGAGCCAGCCTTAGCCCAATCCTTGCAGGCCAGGCCGATGGACCCCACTGGGGTATGAATCCCTCCTTCCCTCTGAGGTTCATCAGTCTGTTCCATGTTTCCATGCCTGTGGTTTCCAGTCCTGCGATGAGCATCTGCCCCCTAGTGGTCAGTGCATGTCAAAGCTTCCAGCTGGTTGCTAGGCTTTTATCTATTTAGATTTTACACTGCCTTTGACAATAGGAAATTCCCTTAAGAAAACTAGTTATGTGGATGAAGTGGAAGAATCATCTATTTATAGTAACATTCAGATTTTATTATTAAAGCATCAGGGTTCTGTCTAAGGCTGCCACGGGTGGCAGGGTGTGAGGCGGGAAGGCAGTGCGCCTGCCCACTGCGATGGAGCACAGGGCGTGCACGGGTGTGCTCGGTCAGCATCAGGAAAACAGCCTGCTGGACAGGAGGGCCTGGCTACGGCTGTGGCCGCTGGGGTCCTTCAGACTTGGTTGTGAGAGCCCTGCCCCGCTGCTTATCTGATGGGCACCCATAGCTGCACACTTGGCTTTTAGGACTGCCCTTCTCACCTGTGAGATGCAGTGCCACAGCTATAAAGGGATGCCCTCATCACGAGAACTCAATGTCAAAGTATCAGAGTCATTTGATGTAACATGTGCATACACAGTTAATGCTCATGTACTGTTAGTTGTCCTTACTCTGTTAGAAGCACACACACATGTATTTCTACGTATAACTCCAATGTAGGATTTCTCAAGCAGAGAGCTAGGTTTCACTGTAAATGTCTGAGGTATCAAATGAGTGTATTTTAGACACATTTCATCAGTTTCATGCTTTTTGTCTTTTCCAAAGAGCTCTCAAGGTCAAAGTTGGATGGAGCAATTTTAAAAAAATTGATTTTAGAGGGAAAGGGAGAAGGAGAGAGAGAAAGAAACATCAGTGATGAGAGAGAATCATTGGTTGGCTGCCTCCTGCATGCTCCTTAGTAGAGATCAAACCCACGATCTGGGTTTGTGCCCTTGACCAGAATCAAACTGAGGACCCTTCAGTCCGCCGGCCAATGCTCTCTCCACTGAGCCACATGGCGAGGGCAGTTTCATGTTTTTTTTGTGCACAGGCATATGTGTTACCAGTATGTGCACTAAGCATGTCTCGGCAGCATGTGCCAGCAGCCTGGTGTGTTCCCCAGTGAGCGCGTGGCTTCTGTCCTGTGACAAGTCTGAGTGAACTTAAACACACCAGCCTCTGGGATCCAGAAGCAGGCATGGAAGCAGGTGTGCATTTATCAGGAAGGAATTGCTAGGAGTCATTCTGGTAAGGAGAGGGCAGTGGACTGGGAGGTGGGCTCTCATAGAAAAGGAAGGTTACGCCCCAGCGGAGGCTTGGGGCTCACAGCACAGAGAACCCGTGGAGACTGTGCAGAGGGCCCGGACTGCTCTCACTCCTCAGTGGGGGTAGATTCGGGCGCCCTGCGTTGAGATCCCTCAGAAGGGTGTCCTGAGCGTGTAGAAAGCTCCTGGCCTTCCCACTGGACCTCGGGCGGCCAGAAGGTTGACTGGCATTCCAGCCACTTCGCGTGCAGTCTACACGGCAGTGCCGTGCATTTAGGAGGAAAGGGCGTTTTTATGTGGAGGTGGGCACTTAAAGCCTTTCGTAGCCAATGCTGAAGGCCAGCCTTCGACTGCCGCTGTTCTCTGGCCACCGAAGAGATAGTTACAGGGAGACTGCTCCCAGCTTTGAAATGTGTATTCATTTGGTCTAGAATGTTTACTTGTATGTATTTGGATTTGTCGTCCGTCTCTGCTAAGAAAGAATCATTGCAGCTTGGTTTTTGACATGGGAGCTGCGAAACATACATGTTCCGTCCCTCCCGGACACATGTGTTCACTGTTCAGAGCCGTCCTGGCTCAAGGTGGCACTGGTGACAGTGTCGGTGCCCAGTGGCCACCCTTGGCCATACCCGGCACAGGAGACACTCCTATGTGTGTTGTTTGTTAGGAATAAGAATACCCAGGCCACATTTGTCTGAGGACACTTGGGCACTTGTGTTTGTTGCTAAGGTGATGCTATAGAAGTGTAAGAAGAGGTTGTGCAAATTATAGAATAAAAGATGAGTAGAAGTGGTAAAGCAGGAGATGGGGAAGAAGTAGGGAAGCTGTGCATTCTTTGCCTCCTCCTCTGCTGTCAGTTACTTCATGCAGAGAGGAGGCTTTCTCTCTACCTGGCCCTGAAGTGGCTCCTGTGTTAGTGCCTCCCCCGCCAGCACCGTGGCTAACCCTGCATCCTCCCACAGCTGCACGCGTGGCTGGTGGAGGCCGTGGTTGAGAAACAGTATTGTAGAGCAGCAGCCTTCAAAGCCATGTTAACGATAAACCCACAAACAATGGACGGGAAAGTCAAACCCTTCTCTTCAGTCTGCCCCTGGGGACCAGGCCTTTCCAGGGAGTGGGCTGCTTGTACCAGAAGGAGGCGGGCTCTTGATTTTGCTTCTTGAGCTAAAGATGGGGCAAGGAAAGGAGTTGAGAGGATGGGGCATGTGTATCTTTCAGACCATATTTGGATGCAAAATGTAGTTGTGTTCTTGCTCCCCCACTCAAAAGAGACTGCTCTTGGGCTTCCTTCCAGAGACAAGGTCATCAAAAAGCACCCTGTGCCAGGAGGTCTCTCTGGGGAACAAGTACTCTCGCACAATCCTTGATGGCCGGGTTATTTTGCATTTGGGGCAGGGGTGGGATGATGCGCTGTGTCTGTGGGACCCAGCTCACCTTTGCTTTCCCCCGGGCTGTGTCTAGTTCAAACATACCTCGGGGTCACCCCCTGAAAGACGGGTGCACAGCAAGGGAAAGGCACCGCCCGGTGCACAAATAGCATTGCAATCATCCACAGAGTCTCGGGCAGTGGGAACATGGTGACGCTACCACAGGGCCTAGCCAGCTGGAGCGGAGGGCAGGCACTGCTCTGCCTGTGGAGTGCTGTGAGCGCCACCCCCCAGCAAGCGCCCAGACTGAATGTGTGTGCTAGCTGTGGTCCACGCCCTTCTCGGCAAGCGTGTGTCCTGCTGCCTGACTCACAGAGATAGCGACTAACGTTCAGTCTGTCTCCCTATTCAGGGCCTGGCGCATCTCCACATCCATCATGTGATTCACCGGGACATCAAGGGCCAGAACGTGCTGCTGACCGAGAACGCAGAGGTGAAGCTCGGTACGTGACGGAGGGCTGCAGGCCACGCTCACTCCTGGCGCAGCCAGCAGCACCCCTGCCCATCTGCATGTAGCCTGGCTCCTCCCTTCCATCGTGCCTCCTCCCTTCATGTTGCCCCCCCTTCCCCCCATCCACCCTCGTTCTCTGTGCAATAGACAGACTGGAGTCTAAATCAGATCATATCATTTTCCTGCTTCAAGATCACTAGTAACTTTCTATTTTACTCTGAATAAAAGCCCCATTTCCCTCACGGCTCATAAACAGCTGTGGCCCTGCTACTGCTGGCCTCTGGTGAGGGCCTCACGCTCCTTCCTCAGTGACTGACTTCTGCTTCCTGGGAACTTGCCTCAGGCCTTCGCCCATGTGTTCCTAGGTGGAAGCTGCAGTGTTTCTCCATTCTCATTGGCCTTCCCTGACCCTTGGGTCTGTGCTTATTTCCTCCATAATAATGATCACAATTTATAATTATAAAGCTATTTGTTTACTTAATATTTCTGTCTCCTTTATGAGAATATAAGTTCTGGGGGTACAGCGACCAGGATTGATTGGTTTGCCAGAATATTCTTACGCAGCACCTGCACAGTGCCTTGAATGTGCTCAGTAACATGTGATGGATGGGGGTGGAGCCCGTGGTGTCCTCCTGGACATGGTTTTAATGGTTCTCTATGTTCCAGTGGCTCTCCGGGTTTCCGGTTTCCTTTGCCTAGATCTCAACTCACTCGCACCCACTTTGCTATAATTCTCCTGCCAGATTTAAACAGGTGTAACCTTGTTTTCTCCCTCTAAGTCATCACAGAAGCTGTGCTGATAAGAATCTAGTCCATCTGTGAAGAGTTGTAGGTGAAGTGGCTCGTACTGAAACACAAGATCTCGTCATTGCTCTCGCACAGTGCCTGCAATTGCTGGCCATCTTTGGAGGAATAGTCTGCTAGTGGGGAAATCCCTCCACTTGAGATGGAGGCCCTGGAACGGCTCTCACTCCTGACTGCACAAGCCGCGTGTTCCCACGCACCCCGCGGTGCCGCCTGTGCACACCTCAGTGGTCACTTGTGACCGACACCTGGCTGGCGAGTCTCTGGCTCAGAGGAGCATGCACCCCAAGCGCTGGCCAGGTGGCTCCTCAGGCTGAGCCGCAGGCGGGAGTGGAACCCGTGCCCTGGGAGTGATCTCGGCCTCCGCCGGAAGCTCCAAGCGAGCGGGCCTGGCAGCTCCCGGTGGGGTGAGGGCTGCTGGCTACCTCTGGAAGGCAGGTTGTCGTGCGGTGACCTGAGGGGCTGCACGTCCACGCACGTTCTGCTCAGTTTGCTCTGAAGACACCGCCTCCAGGTTCTCGTGGTCTTGTGTTGTTCTTGTTGGTTAGTTGTGATTTCCGTTTTCTTTCTTTCTCCTCTTCCAGTCGATTTCGGAGTGAGCGCTCAGTTGGACAGGACTGTGGGGAGGAGAAACACGTTCATAGGCACCCCCTACTGGATGGCTCCTGAGGTCATCGCCTGTGACGAGAACCCAGATGCCACCTATGACTACAGAGTAAGAGGCGCCTGTGTGCTTGGCTCCCGGGGTCCCTGCCGCTTCCGAGGGACAGGCTCTGTTTACCCTCCTTCTGCTTGCTCCCTCCGGGAGGGTGCCTAGGCCCCTGGGCAGGGGCAGCTCTGTCAGCACAGCGTTTAGATGCTGCCTTCTCTTGTGCATTCTGCACCATCACCGGTCTTCTTACTAAGGAACAAACTGCCTCCAGGGCAACCTGGACCACTGCAGAGCTCCCGCCTTTTATTAGGTTATGAGTGTATTTGCATGACTGCAGTGCCTACAGGCATGTGGCCTCCTGGCACATGGCTGAGGTGTGCAGTCCTGATCCTCATGGAGAACCATAATTGTCCCTCAGACTTAGGTTGAATATATTAACCCAAAGTCCCGTGGCCTTATCTAACATGTCAGAGTGGTTAATGTACCTGTTAATAATATTCGGAATTGCATTCATGTTATAACACTGTCCATTTCCACAGTGTCTATTTATATAAAAGTCAATGCAAACATTACAAACGACCGGTCGTCCTGTAGCTATGTGTTGAGCACCTGCCCCTGGTGGTCAGTGAGCTCCCACAGTCAACCTCCTGCTGGCACTCCCCCTGTCCGGCCCCAGTCAGTCCTGATCTGCACCAGGCCTCTAGTTTATTATAAATACCCAGTTAATGAAATTTAATTTAAGCTTATGGTGTAGAGAGGAATATGCATTTTATTTTTTTTTATTTGCTGAAGTATTTTCAAATAGATTATAGACATCATTCTGAACCTGCAAAATTTGCAATAGTTTTTCAATATTTTCATACATAAATAAATTAAAAATGATTTTTAAAGACAAATCCCATAGTTAGACCCAGCTGATCACCTGGATTATGAAGGTTGCTCGGAGGCTAGGTGGTTGGCTCCGCTGCACTAGGCACAGGTGTGCTGCGGAGGCGGTCCCAGGTCCAGGTGCTGTGCCCTCCCTCGCTCCCTGCAGTACAGAAACTCCATGGAACCAAGGAGAGATGTGTGGTCCTTTCCTTAGTCTTGTGATCAAACATACGTGTTTGCACTCTTAAGTAATTACAGGTGGTTTGAAAACTATGAAGCTGAACAACGTTAGTGATTCCCATGTTAGGATAGCATATAAACAAAAGAATGCTGCCGAAACCGGTTTGGCTCAGTGGTAGAGCTTTGGTCTGCGGACTGAAAGGTTCCAGGTTCAATTTCGGTCAAGGGCATGTACCTTGATTGCGGGCACATCCCCAGTAGGGGGTGTGCAAGTGGCAACTGGTCGATGTTTCTCTCTCATCAATGTTTCTAGCTCTCTCTCTCTCTCTCCTTTCTGCTCTGTAAAAAATCAATAAAATATATTTAAAAAAATAGAATGCTAATGATAGCAATTCTTCATTAATTACTGTAAAAGCCTTATTTGGACTACACACCAGACATAATTCCTGGAACACAGGTGAATGAAACAGATGAAAATGTTTGTCCTTGTGGAAAATAAAGTTAAAATTCAGCTTCTCAAACTAAGAAAAGATTCCATGCACAGAAAGCCCTAGGCCTAGCGCTCACTCCTTCGGAGCGGGCGGGCAGGTGGGCGGTGACTCAGTGGCAGTTTCCTCCGCAGCGCCGGGCCTGCACAGGGCGCCCTCCAGGGCCTCGTGAAGTTGGAGAGTGGACCTAAAAGGAAGCACGTATCAGGGCCAGGGATCTATAGGATCGCACTCTTCTAAAGGAATGGAACGCTGGACAGAAGAGCAGGGCGGGGCGGGGCGAGGGTGCTGGCTCAGGCACCACCTCTGCTCCCTCGTAGACACCAGTGGTTCTAACGAACACAGGACTTTTATCTTTTTCTTATTCACTTAAAACAGTTGTGTGTGTAATTTCTTGAGCGTTTTTCAGTTTATACACCAAAGAAGGCATCTGTCTTGCTTGTGTGAGTAAGCAGCAATGCCACTCTGGGGGCCTCGTATCTACTATGATGGCTGTGACGTACTGTTCTATTTTGCAGAGCGACCTCTGGTCCTGTGGTATCACCGCCATCGAGATGGCAGAAGGCGCTCCACGTAAGTAGTGTTTGTTCTCTGTCGCCCCGCTGTTATCTGTGACGTGCGCCTGGCTTCAGAGCCTGGGAAAGAGCAGCTTCGTGGATGAAGCCACTCCTGGCGGGCGCCCGCGCAGGAGCCTGAGCACAGGGCAGCTTTAAGTATGAGAGCAGCCGGGGACCCACCGCTCCTTCTGGAGGTCCCGTGAGCTCTGTAGGCTCCTCTGTCCTTTTTAAGTTGAACTCGGATGTGGGGCCTGAGATGCCAGTGATTGATCTCCCGTAACAGCAGGGATTTTTCTTTATTCCGTGAAACTGGTATAAACAATGGAACTTGGGTATTGTTTGTGTTTTACTTTACAAATAGAGGCAAAACTTTTTATCTGTAGAATAACATTTTTTGGTATTACCTATGAAATTTTCTTCTGCTTTAGATTAAAACAGAGGCAATTTCATTAACTGATTTTTTTTTTAAATCAGGGATGTGGTATAATTGCAGAGAACAGGAAAAAATAGCATTTTCTGCTGGTTTCCCTAATAAAAAAGTATACACAAAGAACATATAACTGGTTGTTGCTGAGTAAATTTTTGTTGAATGAATGAAAAAAATTGCCAACAGCGGAGAATTCGTTTGCAGAACAGGAACGGGTATCTGTCCTGAACACGTGTCCCTCGTGTTTCCTCCCGAGTGACTGACGTTGCTTGGCCCTGCCTTAGTTCCCTCACAGTGGGAATGGGGTTGTCTTTTTTGGCCCCCATTTCCCAGCTGCCTTGGAAGATTCTCATGAAGGTAAAGAAACACATCAAAGTGCCCGTTGCCCATTGTGCATTGAATGGTGTACCCAACGTGCCTTAATTGGGCGAGTGGTAGGAGTGCAAACAGCAACTTCACGGAATTGAACAATTCCCTTTCACCTACCAGGCGTGCCGGGCCCTGTGCCACCAGTGTCCCTGAGCGGGAGCCTTCACAGCAGCGTCTGCACTCCCTACACAGTCCACTGTCAGCCTGTTGTTGGCTTATGAACTTAGCTATTGAGTCTTTGAACACTTTGAATCAATATTTATCTTTGATTCATGAAAACTTTTCAGAGTCTTTTGAAATTGTATATTCTTCTTGTGCTGGTCCTCTATGTTTTGCTGTGTTTAAATGGGAAATTGAGGGTTTGCCCCAGGGCTCATAGCTAGAAGTCCGGCCTGCTTGACACAAGAAAGCATATCAGTCAGAGGACGGGCAAAGCGTCTGGTGTTTGAGTGAGCCCTAGAGATCAAGAATGAGTAAAATACGTGCCATACTGACACGACCGTCTCCTCTCCCCAGCTCTCTGTGACATGCATCCAATGAGAGCACTGTTTCTCATTCCCAGAAACCCTCCTCCCCGGCTGAAGTCAAAAAAATGGTAAGCTACAAATGGTTTTGTTGTTCTTTTCTTTAAAAAAAAATTGTTCATTTTAGTTTTACTTCAAGTCAAAATTCTGGCCATTCTAATTCCCAAAGAGCAAGTGCCAGTGCCCTAGTCACCAGTTCCATGGATCTTTCTGTCCTGTCTGATAGATTCTCTTTGTATTACAGAAATAGTCACAAGTGCCATACGAACACCGGTTAAAGAAAAATGTCCCATTTTATATTTCAACACACTGAAGTTTGCTCTATTTCTGAACATTTTGCAGTAAAAAGCAAAGCTGAATGGGCTTGCGGTTGGTTCCTCGGGTGAAATGGTTGTTAGCATTAACGGTGCCCTTCACTGTTATCGTCACAAAGCCTGGACGTCAGGCGTCCTTCTTCATCCCGGAGCTCTTGGGAAGGGCCTCTCGTTGGGCTGCTGCCTGCTTCTCCCGGCAGCTCTCAACTATTTGCCAAAGAAAAACGTGTGTTAATGGAGAGCAGCACGCCCTCTCTCAGAGCTACGACCTGCGCTCTGGACTGCGGGCGTGGTGCCATGTCAGTGCCGAGGGAGCGCGCTGTGGTCTGAGCATGTTGCCCACTTGCTCCCGCCTGCAGTGTGAGCCTCTCTCAGCCCCTGTGTGCTGTCTGCCCACTGTGTACCCATTTCCCAGCTGCCTTGTGGTTTTGCTACCTGGTTTTGTTCCTCTCTGGAACTATTTCCCAGTTAGTGCTGTCCTCTTAGGTTCTTGATGCTAACCCTGAAGTATGCAGAAGATCTGGGTGTTAAGCCTGTCATTCTGGATTTGGTCTTTCACTGTCCTGTCTGCTCTTTTCTTCTCGGCTTCTCCTCTGATGTTCGGTGGCTTTCGTTTCCTGTCTGGCTGTGTCCGCGCACATGTGTTTCCGCTCCCGTTTCTTTCCCTCCCCTCACTGTCCCTCCCCCAGCGCATTTCCCTACCCTTTCCCCACCCTTTGTTTGCAGGCAGTATCTTTCTATTCTTTATATACTGTCTTAAACCACATTTAACTCCAGAAACCTGGGGTCACTCGTTTATAGAAAGGTGTTGAGGCCGTGTACTTGTGAAGACTCTAGCCCCAGTGGTCCCCTGTACTCAGACATGACAACTGGACCTCTGTGGGTGGCCAGCTGAGGGCGACCAGTGCCTCTTGTGTAGGTCCAAGAAGAAGCTGAGGCTGGCTCACACACATCTGGCTTGTGCTGCACTCGGCGCTGTCACTGTTCCTTTCCTTTCTTCTGTCAGACTTTACTAGAAAGAGGAGCTCCATCTTCAGGGTGCCTCTCATTTATAGGGCTTGTCAGCAGGCCCCTCTGATGACTTTTCATCAGTTTGGGAACAGCCACTACTGTGTGCGTAATACAGTGGGGCACAGGGACGGGACGACAGGTTCTTCTGAGAGTGCTTCCCACACATCCCCACTGAGCCTGATTAGGTGTCTGTGCAGCCACTGCTCCGGCTTCCCCATGTTTTCTAACGCGGTGAGTGAGTGGCTGCAGACATAAAGGCCCCTCCTTCAGGCTGCTTTCAGCTTCCTCTGTGCAGGGAGAAGGGGCTCCAAGAGGTGGCCAGGAACTCTTTGCCAGCAGAATGCTAATGGTCCATTTTAAAGGATTTGCTGCAGATCCTCGATTCCTAGATGTTTATCCATGGGTATGGTATGTCTTTGGGATCTTTGGAATCTTACTTTAGGGCTCCAGCCTCAGAACTCCTGGTTCCTAGTCTGAGGAGGGGCCCAGGCTATGTATTTCAGTGAAGCCCCACAGTGGCCTGTGACAGGCCATTCCTCCACGGCAGTGAGGACCGGCCCTACCGCACCCCCATGACGAAGCAGCAGCCTCCGTGATGGGGCCTTCTCTGAGCTGACCCCAACCTGTTTTTCTCTTCTGTTCTGTGTTTCCTACAAGCACTAGAACAGGATTCATCGTTCTTCAGTTTCATACCTTTGTTCCCGTCGTTTCCTTCTCTCTGGAATGATGGCTTGTCTCACTCACCTTGGACACCAGAGGGCCTGCTTTATGCTGTCCGATCCACCCCCTCTTCCCGGTGACGACAGGTGCACACACCTCCACGCATTCCCGGGCACGCTTCTCATAGGGCGTCTAGTGGTCAATCCATAAATATTTGTTGAATTGAAAAAAAACCTAGTAAGTTTGAATGGAAATATAGGACAATAGAAGTGATTCTTAAAAGCAGTGAAATTAATGGGATAGAATTGCACTTATTTTATAATATACATTTTTTAAACTGAATAACTCATTCATTCAACAAAAATTTATTGTGTATCTATTGTGGTCTGCCATCCTCGGTGCTGGGCATGCTGACAGGTGGAGACTAGTAGCCCGTGTCAGCGCTGCGCCTTTTCCCGCCGGCGGGGAGCAGGGCCATGGCGCAGTTCGCTCGGTGCAGAGGCCCCGAAGAAAGGCTCCTGCTGGGCACGTAGGGGTGCAGGGGAGGCTAACGTAGGAGGTGGTGCCGGCCAAGTCTCAGAAGGTGTGAGGGCCCAGCGTCTGGGCCGTGACTCAGGCTGGGGTCAGCATGAGGTAGGCTCCTCAGCAAAACAGCAAAAACCCAAGTGGCTGGTCTGCAAAATGTTGGTGACAGAGTTACTGCCCCCTTCAAACCATCGTTTCCATCAGCACAAAGAGTGAATGGCAGTCCAGTTTGAGGCTGGGATTGGAATGTCATGTGAACAGGTTTAAGAGCCCCAGCTTCTGGTCACTTACTTGGCTCCTTCTTTTTTGTTTCTATGTTGTCCTTGTCTTCCAGGTTCCAAACATCCATTCGTTTTAGCAACTCCCCCACCCCCCCTCGACTTCCCCTCCACCTACTTTCGTTTTAGCAACTGCCCCCCACGACTAAGGGATACTAAGCAACATGATATTCAAACCCTGTTACTTTAGATCAGGCTCTGCGTGAGGAGGTGTGTGGCCTATGCCAGTGATCGGGTTTAGCCCCGGCCTGTGGGCGCCTGCTCCTGGTCCCGATCCTGAGCTCCCGTTTGTCCCCATGCCATGCCTGTGCGTTCCCAGGCACCTCGCCATCCTGGGGCTCGCCTCTGTTTTCAGCTTATGTGCCACTGCTCCTTTGGAGGTGTGCTCTTTGTAGTAGACATTTGATGATCTTTTTACTTTCTCTTACAGGTCAAAGAAATTTTTTAGTTTTATAGAAGGGTGCCTGGTGAAGAACTACATGCAGCGGCCCTCCACGGAGCAGCTTTTGAAACATCCTTTCATAAGGGACCAGCCAAATGAGAGGCAAGTGAGAATCCAGCTTAAGGACCATATAGACCGGACCAGGAAGAAGAGAGGAGAGAAAGGTATTAGATCTGTTTTCATTTCATCTTAAACATGTATATTTTGCCAGCTAGGATAGGTGCTTCTGCCTGCTGGGCTGTGCCCGCAGGCCTAAGACGGCCAGGGCCAGCAGCTGCGGGTGGGCCCAGGACCTGCAGGCCTCGCATGCTGCCTTTGGGCCCGTCCAGCCTCCGAGAGGTGGTGCCCTGTGTGTGGCCAGTGATCCTGTGGATGTGGGTGCAGACGGGCCTGCAGCCGCATGTGACGCAGGCGAGACCAGTTTCAGTTTTCAGGCTGCATTTTTCTTACCAGAAAACTGGTTTTAAATGTACGTCTCAGGAAAAAAGTTAGAAATTTTTTTTGTGAAGAGACTTTGTTTATAAATCTCTTCAACCTTCCTGGTTTTGATTGCTCCATAGAGGGAAATTACTGAAAGCCAAGTACTGACATTAAGGTCAGGGTCCCACAGGATGGACTATTACTTTTGGGAAAATGGCATAGAACCTGTTGAAGTGAAAGTAAGTTACTCTTGTTGACACTTCGTCTTGTCTAGGGAGAGCCAGTTTTGTCTCCCTCTGCTGTATTGTTTCTTCAGGTCTCCATGATTCCACCTTTATAACTGTGGGAACATTCCATTTTGTTTTTTCTGCCGTTGGTATCTACTTACTGCTTCCTTTCTGCCAGCCCAGCAGACTGCTGCACTTTAGGGGGATCCCCGAGCACTAGGCATAAGCATTTTATTATGTATATGTAAATGTACACACACACACACTTTAAATCTTTATTATTGAAACTATTCCATATGTCCCCTTTCTCCCCACATTGACCCTTCCAGCCTTAGTTTGGGCAGTTAAGTCTCCTTCTTTTGAAATTGAGCATCAGAGTAGGTTTTCTGAATTTGCTGATGCTCTTGGGCCATTTTTCTTCTGTGTCCAGGGCCTGTCCTGGCCTGCTCCCCAGCGGACATCCTGTGGGGGTGTCTGGGATGCAGAGATCTGCTCTCGCCTGGGGAATATGTCCAGGAGTGGCCCTCCCGTAGAATGTGTGGCCAGGGGCCTTCTCCCCACGCTCTGACACATTGCTGTTTTCACCAGGAACATGTTCACCGCTCCTGGAGGCTTGTCTGTGTGTGCATGTGTCATGAATTGTGAACAGTCCCGTTCGTCTTTCCTCAACAGATGAAACAGAGTACGAGTACAGCGGCAGTGAGGAGGAAGAGGAGGAAGTGCCCGAGCAGGAAGGAGAGCCGAGGTACGCCAGCCGCTGGTCTACAGAGTGACGGGGTCCTCAGAGGACTCCCTTCTCTATGGCAGCAGGTTTCCCCTGGCTCTGGAAGGGCCTTAGTAGCCGCCATTCTTCTCTATTTTTTTATTTTTTGAAACATTTTTAGCTCTTCCCCACTGATCCTTTACCAAAATTCCATTTACACACACACACACACACGGTCCTTAGGGAACGTGTGGGTTGTGTGAGTGAGGTCCTGAGGAAGGGAGCTGGCACCCAGCAAGAGGCCCTGCGTGCACATCGGCCGGCCGGGCCGCCATGGAGAAACTGCACTTTTACCAGAACTTTCTTTTTGTTTTGCTCCCACAAGTGTGATGAGCAGCATTCCCTTCCCTTTATTAGGCATACTCTGTCCTGACCCATCTCGTAGTCCATGGTCCTCTCTGCCTCCCAAGGTACAGGGAAGCAGAAGGATGGAGAGTTGATCGTATGGACCTCACAGTGACAATGAGTCAAAGGATAGAGGAGTTTAAAATTGTGGTACTGGTCTTGCCTGGCTCACGCTGAGGCTACACATACTGACTGACCCACGGACCGCAGGCGGGCAGGAGGGTGAGAGCCTGGGGCACACGTGTACCACTGGCAGCTTGCAGAGAGCATAGCAAGGGTTAGGGTGAATGTGATGAAGAAACTAACGTCCCTTTCTTCAGACAGACTGGAGTCCATGTGAGACTAACACTCTGAAAGGGATTGAGTTAATGCCATGAGCCGCGGTGGTTTTGGGGCAGGAGCATCATCGAATGGAAGAGGCTGCGGAAGCAGATTCCTGTGCTGTGTTACTCCATGTGTTTGGGAGTGGAGGGGGAGATCAGCTAGGAAGGGTGCTGCTCAGTCAGTGCTTAATGCCTGGGCCTCCCTGGGGCTCTGCTGCGGACCCACGGGAAGTGAGGTCCATGTACAGATGAAGAAAAGGGAGGTACTGAAGGTTACCTGGTGCTTCCTGCCCAGCAGACCCAGAAGGACATTATTGTCACTGGTGGGAAGTAAGGTGGTCAGAGAGGGATGCTCTCAGCTTTTAGTTTTAGAGTTTGGGCGAGTCCTAGGGAGATGTCCCAGGCCGGAGTGTTGAGATATTTATGAGGTGAGTGAAAGCAGCAGGGCAGTAGGTGTGCTTACGGCCCTGGACTGGTTGGAGAGCGCGTTAGGGTGATGGGAGACGGAGCCGCCCCGCAGAGGCAGCAGCCACCCTGAGCGCCCCTTCCTCCCGCAGCTCCATTGTGAACGTGCCTGGGGAGTCCACGCTGCGTCGCGATTTCCTGCGGCTGCAGCAGGAGAACAAGGAGCGCTCGGAGGCTCTGCGGAGACAGCAGCTGCTTCAGGAACAGCAGCTGCGGGAGCAGGAGGAGTATAAAAGGCAGCTGCTGGCCGAGAGGCAGAAACGGATTGAGCAGCAGAAGGAGCAGCGGCGGCGGCTGGAAGAGGTAGAGAAAGGACATGTCCCCGTTGGTCTCTCTTTCTTTATCCACATGGGCCGCTGGACGCTCACAGGGCATTGTTTGCGGCCTGGCGAGCCCTGAGCCGCCGGATGCCGGCCCTCACGTTCCTCGTCTGGCCTGAGAAGCCGCTCCCTGGGGTTCAGCTCAGGCTCCATCTGATTGCTTCTCACTCTTGGCCTCTGGGTTCAGGTTTGGGTGTACATATTTTTTCTGAAACCTCTGAGTTTTTCACATGAAAAACCTTTCTGCAAATGCCTTAACTTCAGGTACATTGAAGGTAAGGAATGAAGACACGAATCATGCTGTGTGCAGGGCAAGCGCTGTTCTGTCACCTGGCTGCGAGCACACAATTGGCCATGAACAGGAAAAATTCCAGGGTAAATTTTTCATTGTGACATGCAAAGTCCCTAAAGAACTTATGGGAAACATGTTCCAGCAAATAAAGAGGCTGAGAAGGGCTCCAGGAAAGAGTCCGGGGTGTTTCTGGGAAGTTGGTGGACAAGTACAGGATGCCGGAGCACAGTCAGTCCAGCGTGACATGGAAGAGAGGGCTGTGAGAGGGTGACTCTGAGATAAAGAAAGAATACCTGACTTATTTGACCTTATTGAAGGGGTTTTTCCCTGGTTGGTGTGGCTCAGTTGAGCTTTGCCAGTTTGACATGCCCATTTGCAGGCTTAATCCCAGTAGGAGGCAGCCGAACAACGTTTCCCTCTCCCTCTCCATTCCTCTGCCTCTCAAAATCAATAAAAGCACCTATTAAAAAGAGGAACTTATAGTAGTATAAGAGACTTTACAGATGACTTTGTGATATGATGGGTCTGTAGAAAGTCAAAGAAAGGGCAATTAATGCCTCAAAAAACTAAATGAAAAGTCACTTGTACATGACTCCTCAGCCTTGAATGTGATTTTCACTGACCAGAAACTGTCCCAGGACTAGATTGGAGCGTGGGATGTGATGGGATCGCACCATGGACGGTGCGACGGATGTTCTTTGGGAGCAGTCCATAGGCGGTGTGTGTGAAGTGGGGGAATTATAAGCACAGAGATGTAACTGTGGCAGAAGCTGAAAGCACCGCCAGTGCTTTGCCAGTAAGAATTGGGAGGGAGAAGTGGGGTGGCTTGCTTTTACACAAGCCTGATTGTTGGAGTTTTAATGTACTTTGTACTTTAATTTAAAATTTTAAATATGGATAAGATGGAAAAGCTACTTATACAGGCATTTTCAATTTGCCTCTGAATCAGACTTCGCAGCCGGCAGGGGTCCCCGCCCTCAGTGCAGGTGGAAATAACCAAGACAGTGGGTGCCGCACGTCTCTGCGCTTTGGAGCCCCTGGCCTTTGTGAATGCTTTCACCTGGAGCCAAAGCCAGAGGCCGTGCACCAGGCCCTCCGTCTCCTGAGGCCCCAGCTGAGGACAGCACAGGGAGAGCAGAGGGATGAGCGGAAGTCAGTCTCTGGAGTGGGCTAGGCTGAGAGGGCCAGCCTCGTCTTGGTCCTCTCGGCTGGGTGCTGGGCTGCGTTAGGACCGCGGTGTAGCAATGGACTCCAGTGAAATGTTTTCTCCTTGATTCTTGTTTTTTTTTTTTTTTTATTGATTTTTTTTTTTTTTTTTACAGAGAGGAAGGAAGAGAGATAGAGAGCTAGAAACATTGATGAGAGAGAAACATTGACCAGCTGTCTCTTGCACACCCCCTACTGGGGATATGCCCGCAACCAATGTACATGCCCTTGACCGGAATAGAACCTGGGACCTTTCAGTCCGCAGATGAACGCTCTACCGCTGCGCCAAACCGTCTTCGGCTTCTCGTTGATTCTTTCTGAGGACAGGCCAGGCATCAGCAGAAATCAAAATGAAAAAAATTTTTAGCAAGAGAGAAAAAAGCAGGTGCAGCCCATGGCTCTTCTTTCTGGTATTGTGATGAGGTGGAGCTCAATGGCACCTTAATTCACTCTCATTCCGAAAAGTCAGAGCTGGAGTGGCTGCATGGTGTGTAAGGACAGGCAGCAAGCCCCTCCTAGGCTGCCTGCGTGTCCAGGGCCACGGCAGCCTACAGAGCAGCTGCGGCTCCGGCCCACGGACCCCAGCACTGAATCTGATACGTATGCACTTACGTACGTAACAGGCAGCAGTCACTGTCTTGAAGGGTGAGCTACAAACATAAGTAAGGTCAAGTCCTAGGTTAGTTGTTTTTTCTGCCCTTCAGCTCACTGTTAAGAGAGCTGATGTGGAGACAAAGCCGCTCGGTCTTTTCGTCCCTCCTCCTGTTGGTCCTGCCATCTCACCGCATCTGGGCACACTGCCAGACTGTGGGAAAGGGAGGGGAGAGCCCACATCTGGCTTGGAGCAATGGTCCTCTTACAGTTCACTGTTAATGAGACCTTTTAAAGGTTGTTCTTACTTAACAGATCAACTATTGACTTCTTCCAAAAGCCTGTCCCTTGCAAACTCTATGCCCTGGTGGCAACTGGTACAGACAGCCTTCTCCTGCTCCCTGCAGTTTGACAGGCAGGGGTCAGGCTCAAGGGAGGGGAGTGGCTTGTGTCAGGGCACCAGTCAGGATAACATCGCCCCTGTGGCCTTGGCCTTCGGTTCTCTCTAGAACCCATGCATACCACAGCACATACCACAGCCTCCTGAGAGCCCGGTGGCCCTGCCTGGCCACTCTGTTGACGGGGAGTTATAAAGATCAGCGAAGCAGATCCTTTGCCTCTTGGGCCTGTTCACACTGATTGGCTTGGATGTGGAGTTCTCTGAAGCTAAGGGCATTTTAAGGGTGTAGCCCCGGTCCTTTTCTTTCGTTTCCTTCCGTCTGACTGGAGGAGGGGGGTTGTTGACATGCCTGTGGGAAGCTGCCTGCCTGTGTGATTGTGGGCTCCTTCACTGGGAGGGAGGACTTCTGACCAGCCTCCCAGGTATCTGCTACCCGCTGTGGGCCTGGGGAGGACAATGGGCTACTGCAGGCAAGTGCTTCCAGAACACTTCTGTTCTTACCTCTTCAAGGAGAACACTGTAAAGTTGAAGCTCTAAAACTGATTAAATAAGAGTCAGTCTTCTTTGCATTTCAGCTTCAGGTTTTATTTTTAATGTATTTTTACTCAACAAGAAAGTTCAGAAGATGATTCCTTTGAAATTTTTGGTTAGACAGGGATATCTGAAGGAGTTAACGTCTATTTAAAGTTAAAAAAAAAAAGTTTCCCAATTGGAAAATTGTGATTTTTATTGCCAATGATGGAAAAGCGGTTGTAAATGTAACTGATGTGCCGGGGAAAGCCAGCGTTCTGTTTCTGCGAAGATGCAGCAGGTTTAAGAGAAGGTCTGCGCTCACTTTGCTCTGAAGGAGAAGGCCCAGCACCGCTGCGTGACTCGGGTCTCTGACCTCGTGTTTCTGCGTGCGTTTGTCCTGGTGAGGGGAGTGTTGCTGGTTGTCCTACGTTCTGGTAGCTAGTTTTTAAAAGGGGTGCAGGGCGGAGTGCAGGCAGGAGCCCAGGCCATGCACCTTCCTGCCCCTGAGTGGGAGCCACACATGGAAATGGCATCAGTGTGGAAAGCCTGCTTTGAGGCCTTTGTTTTGAACAAACTCTAGTGTCTTTTTTTCCCTCTTTTCTAAGATTGAAACAGTAAAAAGTCATTAAGCTAGCAGGAGGCGGGCAGCAAGTGGAGTACCAGGCATTCAATGGAGATGCCTCAGCCATTGGAAGTTGTGGTTTCTAAAACAGGACAGGAGCTCAGTTCTTTCCATGACCCTGCCCCCACCCATGGAAACCTGGTGCATTTTGTGTGTTGAATTCTATGAGCAGTCAATGGAGAACAAAGCCACAAAACATGGAAGGTATGAAATAGGAGGCGGGGCCAAAAGTCCACTCAGAGCTCCACTGAGGATAATGAGGATGTAGTTAGTACTCAGCTGCAGGACCAGATACCACGTAACCTTTATATCCAGTCATTCCACAAGTACGGTGCAGGGCATTTTCAGGAAATCGTTTGTGAGTGTCTACTTCAGACTGAACACTCGTACACACTCGTACAGGGTCAGGGAGGAAATCCAGAAGGAATGCTTAGACTACAATAAATACTTTGTATACCTCTTGTAAACGCTTCTGTCTAACATCCCCAATGCTTTAGTCAAACTGTTTTGTGTGTGTTTTTTTTAATATGTTTTTATTGATTTCAGTGGAAGGGACAGGGAGAGAGAGAGAAAAACATCAGTGATGAAAGAGAATCAATGATTGGCTGCTTCCTACACACCCCCTACAGGGGATCAGGCTCACAAATCAGACATGTGCCCTGCTGCGAATTTGAACCATGACCTTGTTGATGTTCAACCACTGAGTCACACCGGCCAAGCTATCTTGTTTTTTTAATATTTAATCTTAATGTCACATTAAAGTTTGTGGTAGTAATATTGGCTTTCTGTGTCTTGAGAAATTTGATAGCTGTTTATTCACTAAAGCTATGCAATACAATACATTAGCCACTAACCACGTGATTATTTAAGTTAACTTTAATGAAATAAAATAAAAAACTCAGTTTCTCAGTCAGACCAGTCACATTTCAAGTGCATGACCAAAAGGGGGATGTGTGGAAGAAAAGCGGCCACATGCTAACCCGACTATCTCGGGCAAGGCCTGCACGGTGCCCTTGCAAACCTAGAGACCTAAAGAGACCACAAAGGATGGTCTGAAATTAAAACTTTTAAATTAAAAAGCACTCTGTGGTGGGTAGTCATGTCCTAGGCCAGTATCTTCCCTGACAAAAGTCAACACATGTGGCTTCAGGCTACTGCGTGGAACATGCTGAGAGGTGTTTTGCCTGCCCAGGTCTCCTGGCTAGCACCTTTCCCCTCTGTGGGGAGAACTGATGTTGTTCTCGGTCCTGTGGTAGTGTGTACCGTCAGACGTCTGGGCTGGAGGAACAAGCAGCCAGATGAGTGCCTGTGCCCACACGGGGGGTCACTAGAGCAGCTGGATTAAGGGCGGCTGTCAGAGCCAGGCTGGTGAGTCAGGCGCTTTTGCACTCTGGTGGATGCAGAGTGATGTTAATGTTAACGAATTGGCTTTAGAGACCATGTGTCCTTGTAGCTGGGGCTTATGAGCTGGCAAGACCCAAGTCCCTTAACTTTTCTGAACCCATTTTCTCCTCTGTAGAATTGGGATGAAATACCTACTTCCTAGGTTTGTTAGGAGAATCATATTAGGTAAAGAATCTGAAATAAGGAACATCAAATACTCCCTGGCTGGGTCACTCAGTGGCTTAGAGCATTGTCTCGATTAGCCAAGGTTGCAGGATCTATTCCCAGTCAGGAAACATACAAGAATCAACCCATGAACTAGGAGGTCACCCCTGTCAGGGCACATGCTGAAGTTGTGGGCTCGCTTCCCAGTGGGGCATGGTCAGTGATTGTCTCTCTTCATCGATGTTTCTATCTCTCTCTCCGTCTCCTTGAAATCAATGAAAACATACTTTAGCTGAAACCAGTATGGTTCAGTGGATAGAGCATCGGCCTGCGGACTGAAGGGTCCCAGGTTCAATTCCGGTCAAAGGCATGTACCTTGGTTGCAGGCACATCTCCAGTAGGGGGTGTGCAAGAGGCAGCGGATTGATGATGATTCTCTCTCATCAATGTTTCTAACTCTCTATCCCTCTCTCTTCCTCTCTCTAAAAAATCAATAAAGTATATTAAAAAAAAAAAGAAAACATACTTTAAAATATTTTCTAAAAATCATCCAATTAATGCATAAATAAGTTGAACAACAAATCAATGTTTCCTTTTTTAAAAATCAAATAGCACAGTGTGGGATATGCAGTACATGTGTTTAATAACAGTTGCTTATATTAACACTAGAGACCCAGTGCCCGAAATCCATGTCCCTCAGCCCAGCCTGCACGCTCTCCAATCTGTGACCCCTCTAGGGATGCCTGACTACCCGTTTAGACCTGATCCCAGTGGGATTGGGCCTAAACCAGCAGTAGGACATTCCTCTCACAATCCAGGACTGCTGGCTCCCATCTGCTCTCCTGCCTGCCTTCCTGATTGCCCTTAACTGCTTCTGCCTGTCAGCCTGATCACCCCCTAACCACTCCCATGCCAGCCTGATTGATGTCTAGCTGCTTCTCTGCCAGCCCGTTTGCCCCCAACTTCCCTCCTCTGCCGGCCTGGTCATCTCTAACTGCCCTCCCTTGCAGGGTGATTGCCTCCAACTTCACCTCCTTGCAGGCCTGGTCCCTTCAACTGCCCTCCTTGCAGGTCTGGTGCCTCCCAACTGCCCTCCCCTGCTGGCCATCTTATGTCCATCTTGTGTCTACATGGGGGCAGTCATCTTTGACCACTAGGGGACAGCTATTGTGTGTTGGAGTAATGGTCAATCTGCATAGTACTCTTTTATTAGATAGGATAGAGGCCTGGTGCATGGGTGGGGACCAGTTAGTTTGCCCTGAAGGGTGTCCCGGATCAGGGTGGAGGTTCCCTTGGGGCATGGGGCGGCCTGAGTGAGGGGCTTCTGGTGGTTTGCAGGTCAGCCATGCCCCCTAGTAACCTAAGTGGAGACCCTGGTATCTGGAATTTATTTACCTTCTACAATTGAAACTTTGTAGCCTGGAGTGACAGAGAGAGTAGCCAGGCCCGGAGTGACAGAGAGAGAGGTAAGTGTTGATCAACAGCTGCCATGGAGACTATGGATCAGACCCTGCTTCTCTCTCCCCAGGCATCTCTTCTGCTTGCTCCATGGCTGCCACCATTTCTGTTTGGATTTGTTTACTTCTATAATTGAAACCTTGTACCTTTGAATGGAGGCTTAGGCCAGCAAGGGCAGGTGGAAAGCTTGATTTCCTCCATTGCCTGGGAAACCCAAGCCTCTGTGGCTGTTGCCATTTTGTTTGGGTTTATTTGCATACTCACTCTGATTGGCTGGTGGGTATGGCTGGTGGGCATGGCTTTTGAATGTGGTGGTGTGGTGGCTAATTTGCATATTACTATTTTATTAAGTAGGATCCTAATATATAAAAACTCTGGGTTCATAACATCCACAATGACTGGAGGCTCAACCAACCAGAAGTCAGTGCTGGGTTGCCATAGTGACCCAGCACTGACTGCCTCAGCTGTGGGAGCTGAGACCCAGCACTGACTGCCAAGGGGGCTGCAGATCAGGCCTGGAGAGATGCCTGGGGGGAGAGAAGCAGGGTCTGATCCATAGCCTCCATGGCAGCTGTTGATCAGCACTTACCTCTCTCTCTGTCACTCCGGGCCTGGCCAGCAGCTGCATTTCTCTTTCTCTTTCTCTTGGGCCTCCGCTCGGGTAGCTGATCAGCCTGCCTCTCTAATCAGGCCTATTGATAAGACCTGAGACACCGGCTGGCATGGAAACAGACCAGTCAGAATCAAATCTAGGTGAAGTGTGAGGAGCCAATGGCTGCCTAAGAGGCAAAGCTTTTGACGCTGACTAGCATAGAAACCGACCAGTAAGAACCAAATCAGGGTGAAGTGCAAGGAGCCAATGGCTGCCTAGGAGGCGGAGTTTTTGACGCTGACTGGCATAGAAACAACTAATCAGAACCTAATCTGGGTGAGCTGCAAAGGCAGAACCTAAGGTGGGGTTTGAGGAGGGGTTTTAAGGGCAACAGTTGATTGGTGTAAGAAAGTGGTTCAGTTTTTTAATGACTAGTTTGGCAGTATAGTGCATATGACTGGCTATCAGTCCAGATATAGGGCTTATGTATTTTTGTCTGCCAAGATCATCTCCTTATGTATTTTTGTCTGCCAAGATCATCTCCCCACCACCATTTAAGCAGTCCTATTTTATACAATCTATACTACTAAAAGGGTAATATGCTAATTAAACCAGGTTAACACCATCTTCTGGATGTCTGGCTTTCTTCCGGACAAAGCCATGGTGGTGGGGACCAAGGCAGAGGCTGATAGGGGCAATCAGGCCAGCAGGAAAGGGCAGTTTGCCAGCCCGGCAGGAGAGAGAAGTAGTGGGCAAGATCAGGCTGCCAGGGGAAGGCGGTTGGGGGTGAGATCGGCTGCCAGGGGAGGGCAGTGGGGGCAACCATGCCGGCAGGGGAGGACAGTTAGGGGAGATCAGGCAGGCAGGCAGGTGAGCAGTTAGGAGCCATTGGTCCCAGATTGTGAGAAGGATGTCCAACCACTGTTTAGGACATCCCCCAAGGGGTCCCTGATTGAAGAGGGTGCAGGCTGGGTTGAGGGACCCCTCTCCCCTCCCCCCTGAGCATGAATTTCATGCACCAGGCTATTAGTTAATAATGCCATTTATTATTCTGGTTGAAATCAGTTCTCTTCTTGATGAGTGCTGAAACCTCTTTAATTCTTCTTTACTTGCCCTATATCTACTTTCCTTTGTTTTTTGTTTTTTTGTGTTTTTTTTTGTCTTTTTTTTTTTTTTTTAAATATATTTTATTGACTTTTCACAGAGAGGAAGAGAGAGGGATAGAGAGTTAGAAACATAGATGAGAGAGAGAGAGTCATCGATCAGCTGCCTCTTGCACACCCCCCACTGGGGATGTACCCGCAACCAAGGTACATGCCCTTGCCCGGAATCAAACCCGGGACCTTTCAGGCCGACGCTCTATCCACTGAGCCAAACCAGTCCCGGCTGTCTTTTTTTTTTTTTTTTTTTTTTACTTAGGGCCTTGGGTAACTGTTAGTGATATTCAAGGATTAAGAATTCCCTGTCCCCTAATTGCTATGATACAGTGAAGAATGGGGAATAATAGATACAAAAACTGACCCTATAAGGAGTCACAGAAACACAGCACTGTTAACCAGTATTTATGAGAAAGCTATTATAGTATGTGTATATGGGGGAGGGGGGCATGTGGAATAATTGGCAAGTAGAAATGGGATCCATGAACCACCTTCATTTGTTATAACTGTTCCGCAAACTGTCATGAGAGCTATGGCTAGAAGATCCCTGCTGATTCTATCTTTCCTTATGCAGCAACAAAGGAGAGAGCGTGAGGCTAGAAGGCAGCAAGAACGTGAGCAGCGAAGGAGAGAACAAGAAGAGAAGAGGCGGCTAGAGGAACTGGAGAGAAGGCGGAAAGAGGACGAGGAGCGGAGGCGGGCCGAGGAAGAGAAGAGGAGAGTTGAAAGAGAGCAGGTTAGTTCACAGGGATGTTCCCCCCTGAGCTTGTGAGGTTCATTACTTTTGTAGAGTCGGGGTATTTAAGGCAGAACATACTCACATGTGTGGGTGCACAAGGCCAGGACATTAGAGGTTCAGGATGCTGAAACAAATTGGAAGTAACCAGTAAACTGAGCCTATTGTCTTTTTTAAAAGTTATATAAATTATTATATTTTAGGAACCTTGAAACCAGAAAAGTGCTCTACAGATAGTATGGGGGCTGAAAGATTTCTGAATATATCTTCTTGGGTTCAGTTTAAATGCTTCAGACCTAACACTTTAAAAATGATATTAAAAATCAATTATAAGAAATTTCTTAAGAGCAATATTTGAAGTAACCACTGGCTAACCAAATATTTAACGCTAGAGGCCCGGTGCGCTGGTGAGGTCCCTCAGCCTGACCTGCTGGGATCGGGCCAAAACCAGCAGTGCAGTATCCCCTGATTGTGAGAGGGTACAGGACAGGATAAGGGACTCCACCCATGCACGAATCCATGCATCGGGCCTCTAGTATGCATATAAGATCTTTGGTTAATCTCTCCCGCCCTCCCCCCTTCCCCCTGAGATTCATCAGTCTGTTCCATGTTCCATGCCTGTGCATTCAGCGTCTGCCCCCTGGTGGTCGGTGCACATCATAGCTACCGGTTGAATGGTTGCTTAGGCTTTTATATAGATAGCTATCTTTGCATATAATTCAGTATACACATGTAGCATTTTAGAAAAACTAGCTACATTGTTTTGTTTAACCACAAAAAGATCAGGTTTAATAATATTTATAACATTTTATTAATTCCAGATGGTAGTTTTCTTTAGAACCCTCTGTTTCTTGAACCAGCTGTACAAACAAAAATTGAGTTTTCTTTTGTCTGTTGTCAATGTGGATCCCATCACTAGCCTCCTTGCCTTTCATGTCTTTGAAGGAATCGCTGTTTGTTATGAGCTTTGAATAAAGAAGAAAGATATGAATGGGACCAATTTAAATGAAACTTGTGATCCATGTTTAAAGTTCCTTAAGACAGTGGTATTAACTTCCAGGTGTGGTTGTTCAGTTGTTATCCTTGATACTAATCATACCCCTCAGTTTTTTTGAGACTCAGTCTGCCTGCTGATTGCCAGTGTTCCTAGGAATTCGAGTGACATTCTTTGTCACCTTCCTGACATTGTGGGCCAGTTAACTGATGTGTTTTGTTTTCCTCACATTCCAGTTTATTCTTGAGAACTGCAAAGAAGACATAACATGCATTACACGCTTTTAAAAATTAGATCACAATTTAATCCTCACAATTCAGTTGTGATAAGAAAGTAATACTTAGCCTTTATTTTTCTAGTGACAGGCATTAGCTATAATGTATAGCAGCATTGTTCACCTCTTTAAAAAAGTAACATCAAAACAAATTAAATAACAGCAAAAGTTAGTTTTATTCGGCTTTCCTCATTCTATTGCAGCATTCCCACAAGAAGGGTGCTGAGGGAACACCCCTCTGCATAAGTATGCCTGTGTGTGTGCATGTGTGACTGCTCTGTGTCCGTGGACTAGGACCTGTGACTTGGACAGTTGTGCATTTTCCAGGTGCCCCTGTGTTTTGAAGGCAGGAAACAAATGAGTGTGCTACTTGATCCTTTAACTTATGGTTTAATTCTGTCTAGTCCAGGGGGAGAGGGGGCAGTCAGGTCCTTCCTTGGTCACTCCGGGAGGCAGCGTGGTCAGCCGTTGCTGGCGGGGCAGGAGTTGCCCGGGACCAGGCTTTGGGGGAGCCTGGGTTTGAGTCAGGGCGTGTTTGCCACTCTCTTGTGGGTATGTTTTCCCCCAGACTGGCTTTTTTGTTGTTTTTTAGCTAAATTTTCTTTGTAAGATGAGCATTTCTAAGGAAATTTACACGTCGTAATTTCTGTTATCCAGCATTCTCGCAATTAGATTGATTGATTAGTCACACTTCTCTTCCGGTATCTCGGGGTGCAGTTTGGGATAAGGGGGTTGTCAGCAGTGGACTCTGTAAATAAAGAAGTCTCTGAATTTCAGAGTGAAGGCTGCCCTCAGGAACTCCTTTTGAGTAGTTAGCTTTCTTCCCCATTGAAAAGGAAGGAAACTTCTGTTTCTTGTATCCACTTTGTTCTTTCTGAGGTTATCTGTATCTCATATTTGAGCCTCGCCAAACCATCCCAAGAGTGGAGGGAGAATACCCCTGACGTCATTTCTCAGATGTGGAGTCTGCAAGCCTGGGAGGGGGTTTGCTTGAACCAAAGCTAGGGCCACTGGTTCCCCAGGCCATTCATATGCATGGACACTCCAGGCTGGAGTTCTCCTCTTTAGACACATATGTTGGATGTGTTTGCCTGTTTTCATTCTTCATCCTTCTCTTCCCATCCTTCTCCTTGCTATGTCATGGACACGCAGGGCCCCTCATTATGAAGAGCCTGGGCCTGTTCGTTGGTGGAGAGTCGCCAACGTGTCCAGATCGGGCTTTCAGAACGTAGTTATTCTAGATGCCTTGTGTATCTGTCACCAGCGAAAACACAAATCATGCTTATATTTTCATATTAAACAGGTTTTGTTTGGGGGGTTTAAAAATTGGCAACCCATGCTGGGTATAAAGAATGACTAAGCAGCAGACATTTGTGAATGAGCACGGTTTGGTTCCTAAATTTAAACTGCCGGCTTCTGCGTCTGCCATCCCGAAGGAGCCCCGCGGCCTGTACAGCCAACATCGGGTATGGCAGGCGCACCCAGCACCTCGTGTGGACTGGAGCGTGCACGCCATCACCTGTTACACTTTGCAGGTCCTGGTGCCAGAGTTTGAAGATCTTTGGAAACTCTGAGCAATAGACTTTGTTGAGACTCATTACTAAGTGAACGAGCACCAAGGACTACTGGGGCCGATGCGGGTGCGCTCCGCTCAGGGTCCATTGATCTTTCTGTGGGTCCATTGATTGCTGGGTGATTTCTGTGTGACAGGAGTATATCAGGCGGCAGCTAGAAGAGGAGCAGCGGCACCTGGAAATGCTTCAGCAGCAGCTGCTCCAGGAGCAGGCCCTGTTACTGGTAACGCCCGCGTCTGTCTGTCTGTAGTGCCAGGGCGCGTCTGTCCTCCCCGAGCGGGCACAGCTGTGCGCCACCAGACCACTCTGGGTAGTGCTGGGGGCTGGAGGCTCAAGTGGAGACACCTCCGTGGTCCTGCTGCTTGGGACACATCTCCAGGTGGCTTTTATCTACCTACCTGCTTCCCACTGATAGCGGTCCTGTTTGAGAGGTAGAAAGGCTTTGGACAGAAGCTGGCATTCAGCGAGCAGACAAGAATGCTAGGGGTTGATGGTTGAAAGCGCTTGCATAGGATTTCACCTAGCTTAATCTAGGTTCCTTTTAAAACCACTGCTACTGACATTTAATTTAATTCTCTTTTGCTCTGTCCAGTGATATTTGTTAGCAACAAGCTGTCAGATTTTCCACAGGTAATATGCTATCTGAAACCCCAGCACTTTACTTTGTTACAAAGCATGGGGGAAATGGCATGGTCTTTAGAGAGCTGAGAATGAATTGGAGAAGAGGCGAGCCCTCCAGTGACCCCTAGATTCAGTGTTCTCCTCTCCCTCCCCAAGGAGTGCCGCTGGCGGGAGCTGGAGCAGCACCGGCAGGCAGAGAGGCTCCAGAGGCAGTTGCAACAAGAACAAGCCTATCTCCTGTCTCTACAGCATGACCACCGGAGGCCGCACCCACAGCCGCCGCCGCAGGAGCGGAGCAAGCCCAGCTACCACGCCCCGGAGCCCAGGCCCCACTACGAGCCCGCTGACCGAGCGCGAGAGGTACCGCTCCCTGCGCCGCAGACCGCAATCCTGTGGGTTCCTGGCCGGTGTTAGTGCTGGATGTGCCGGCAGCTGAGGAGGCTGGGGGCTGGAGGCTCAAGTGGAGACCACCACTTTGGGTTTCCAGCTGAGAAGCGGGTCCTGAGAAGTGAGACTGTCTCGCAGGGTTTCTTCCCCAGTTCGGCATGTCCTCCTCAGAGGACCGGAGTGCCTTTGGTACCGATTCTCAGGTGAACTGAACACTGAACTAAGCACAAGGGGAAGATTGTCCGGCAGAATCATTCTTTAAACTGCAAATGAGGGAATGGGGGCCTGGTTAACTCTTTTCCCAAACGGGGATGAAGATGAAGTGTGTCCATAACCGACTTCCTGGCTGTTCAGTGATCCTGACATGGTACCGAGTTGCTGCCTCTGGTGTGGCACGGGTGTCCTGGGCTCCGAGGTGCTGGGGGCGCCCTCCCGCGCTCCTGGCCCCAGAGTGCCCGGAGCAGCCGTGCTGGCACGCCCTTTGTGCCGGGGTGAAATCCCATGGCAGTCTTTTCCTCTGCTGTGTAGTTGGTTGTGACACATTTAACTGTTTTCTGGTTTCTCATCCTCATGCACAGCCCTAGAGCTCCTGCCGGGCGGAGATGGCAAGGCTGCCTCCTTTAACTGGCTCTCTTAAGCATTTCTTTATCCTGCTTCATTTGCTCCTCCCTTCTAAGCTCTCCCTTTCTTTCCTTGTAGCTGAAGTTAACAGACAGTGTCTCTGTGCAGTCTGCCCACTTCCAGGTTTTCTCTGGTACCTGCTTTCCCCACTAACACTGCGTTATGTCTTCTAAATCTCCGATGCAGGTGGAAGATAGGTTTAGGAAAACTAACCACAGCTCCCCGGAAGCCCAGGCTAAGCAGACAGGCAGAGTGCTGGAGCCGCCCGTGCCTTCCAGATCAGAGTCTTTTTCCAGTGGCAGCGCCGAGCCTGTGCACCCCGCCCTGCAGAGACCAGCTGAGCCCCAGGTGCGGCGGCCAGGCCGTGGGTCGCGGGCATGTGAGGGCTCAGGCCACGGGCCTGCACGTAATAATCATGTTGTTGTATGTTCCCACATTGAGAAGGAGAAGAGATTAGCAGGAGTGAGTTCAGACTAGCCTGAAGAGGACAAGACCCTCTTTTGATAGGGAAAAGTAGGAAGTTTTAAGATTTTTGTTGTACTTACTAAGCATATCCAGATTCAGTGATTTTTTTCTTCATTTAGCATTCTGTCATATGTTCATGAATAAGTGTTTTCTTATTCTAACATAAAGGATTTTTTCAGCTTAGTTTTTAGAAAGTTAGTGTTACAAGTACATAAGGGGCAAACCAGACCTTTTCTTAGCCAGACCTTGGCACCTGGCTAGCCAGGAGTGGGCATCAGAAGACCAGCACCACCCTGAAGTTCCAGCACAAGTTTGGGGTTTTCCAAATGTGCATGCTTTTTGTTTCCTTTTGTTTTTCTGGGAAACGAGCCTTTTATCAGATTCTCAAAAGGTTCAAGATCCTAAAGAAGTTGCAATGCAATAGGTGAGGTGTGGTATCCTGCAGCAGGTGGAAAGGTCACAGCTCTCACTGGTCGGCCTCGTGGCTGGTGTGGGAGAACTGGGCTGAGTGCTGCGGGCCAGAGAGCCCTCTGCTGTCTGGAGAGAACGTGGACGGCAGAGGGTGCCATGCAGAGGCCTTGAGTCCCCACTGATGCCACTTTCTCGCTGAAACAGCAGGCTTTTAGTCATTTTGCTTTGCGCAGCTGTGTAACTCAGAATATTGGAAGTGAGTTCTGAGACCCAGGTTCACTGAAGTATGCAGGTACTGGGGGCAGAATTCAGGTTCTTGTAAGAAGCAGCTGCGGTGCTTCGAAAAACTACTTTAAAGGATTTGAATGTGCTTCCAGGAACAGCCCTGTGTGCAGGCGTTTAGAGACCACAGAGCCAGGCTCTGGCCTAGCGGGCAGGGGAGGTGCCGGGCCATGGGCAGTGTGCCCCGGAGTCAGCAGCTCATGCTTCACGGGCAGCTGGCGCACCAGCGATCAGCAGCTTTGAGTCAGGGATGGAAAGACAGAGCAGGACAGGGTGAACGGGGAAGGAGGAGGGACTAGTGGGGTCAGTTGGCCGACATTCCTGGGGAGAGGCCAGGTTTAGTTCATCTGAAAGTTAGCCCTGCCAGGAGTAGAAAACCTTTACCGTCTGGGCCACGGGCAGTGTAGGAAGCAGCGCTCCTGATTCCGCAGGCGGCATTCTAGGCGGAGGGCCCTTAAGGCCGCGCCTGGGAGGGCCTCCGGCTCCTGGGGCAGGCCGCTCTTCGGCACACGCACCTGTGCGGATGTCCTCTCCGGGCCTCCAGGGAGGACCGAGCTGAAGCCACGCTTTGAGCATCGTCGCTACAGACAACACTTTCAGGCCCACGCTTTCCTGGACTCTGAGATTGTACCAATAACTAAGCTCTGTGACTTTCAGCTGCAACTCTCAGACTGGAACTAATTTTGGATCTTGCTTTAGTGAAGATTGAAATCAGTTGTGATTTGGCATTTCCAGTTTTCATTAAATGCATTCATGTAATAGTCATATAACTGGAGTTATGTAACTTGAAATATTAAACATTTTAAAACAAAATAATAATTTAAAGAAAATGCAGATTATTTCAGAGATTGCCAATTTAAAAGCAACCAGATAAATGCCCAGTTAACAATGTTGTCAAGTAGATCAATTAATGAATATTTCTAAAGAAATGAAGTTCTTTTTTCCTAACTATTGTGAAGATATGGAGACCTAAGGTTTGAATGTTTTAAGACTTGGAAGAAGAAGGAAGGAAAATGTTGTTTTAGGTGGAAAGTTGGCTGTTTTTAAGCTGCTGTATTATAATTTGTCAGAACCTGAGGGCTTTGTTTGCCCACATTTGTCAGTGTGCTGTTCACTGCTGCGTGCCCTGCAGGGAGCAAGCGGGCGGGCAGGTGTGTACGCACAGGCCCCTCCCTGCGCCCGCCACCTCCAGGCTCTGCTTGGATGTGGACATGCGAGAGCACGTGTCCCCCATCAGTTTAAAGCTTTCTTTAAACTTTAAACCTTCATGTTTGCTGCTCTCGTGGAGCTTATCTGGGTTAAAGAGTTTCCCGTCTAAGTGTGCATTGGTTTCCTGTGCACAGTGTCTCCCAGGCCCTGTTCACTTTAGAGGGGAGCAGCTTGCACCAGTTGCCTCCCCCAGTTTCTGTTTGAATTTGGAATTGACCAGAAAAGCCTTTTATGCAGAACGCATTGAATGTCTTGTGTTTTGTTTTCTTGTAAGGTACAGTGGTCCCACCTGGCATCTCTCAAGAACAATGTTTCCCCTGTCTCGAGATCCCATTCCTTCAGTGACCCTTCTCCTCCCAAATTTGCACACCACCATCTTCGCTCTCAGGACCCATGTCCACCTTCCCGCAGTGAGGCGCTCAGTCAGAGTTCTGACTCTAAGTCGGAGGCGCCTGACCCCGCCCAAAAGGCTTGGTCTAGATCAGACAGTGACGAGGTGCCTCCAAGGGTAAGAAGCAGACAGACAGATGTGTGCTGCTTTTTCCTTTTTGTTGTTTTTAAAAAATTACTAATTTCAATTAAGGGTATGGAGACGTCACCAGAATTAAGGGGCCATGAAATTTCACAGGAGCTTTTTACGGTGGGGAGAGAGCTGCACAGTTAGGAGTCAGGTCCAGCCAGTGCTAGCTGTTCATCTTTGTTGTTAACTCTGTATCTAAACACCGGGTAACAAAGGAACCTAGGAGCATGCTTTAGAACAAACGGGATAGCCTATGTTTTAGCAGCTATCTGATATTTTACAGAAGTTACAGATTATTTTCAAATTAACCGTTATCTAACTTTTCAGAAAAGGTCTTGTAAAGAAAAATCATTAACAAAAATTTCTAAAAGGAGACATTGTTCTTTTTAAATTGAGGAATTTTTTGGCTTTGTTTTGCTTTGAACTTTTTTAATTTTTAATTTTTTTGGTAATTACTTAATGGTGAAATTAAACATAAAGGCACATTTTAGTTTATTTTTCTTCCACTTAGAATTTGCTTCCTCTGGATATTTTCTTGCTTCCTACCAGTCTTTGTTTCCTACTGATCCATTTGTGGACATTGTTTGGTTTCTTTGAGCTCATTTTCCTGATTCTCACATTTTCTTAGCAAAATGCTTTGTATGCCCCTGCCAGCAAACCTCCGTCCACACGTCTACACGGCAGGGTGCTGCAGAGCACCTGCTGCGGTCCCGCACCTTCGCTGCCTGGACCCAGTTTTCTCTTCCGTGTGTCAGTGAGGCAGGGCGGGTGGGGCGGTGACAGCCAGGCTAACAGAATTAGGACTGCTGTAGGAAATGTTTGGGAAGGAAATCATTTTCCCCTCATATTTTCAAGAACGTGATTGCTGTGTTTTCTACCCAAAGGTTCCTGTGAGAACAACGTCTCGCTCCCCTGTGCTGTCCCGTCGGGATTCCCCGCTGCAGGGCAGTGGGCAGCAGAATAGCCAAGCTGGGCAGAGAAACTCCACCAGGTAAAAGGAGGCGGAGCTTAATGGCAGCTTACGTACAGTCGCCTTCAGGGAAGTTCTGTGGCAAAGAGGAGATTATCAGTTTATGAAAGAAAAACTGCTATGAAATATATTAACCGCCTGTCTGTGAGGGTGAGTGCAGAGCAGTGGGGGAGGCTCCGAGAGCAGGGCCTGGGGGTGTCCTGGGCAATGGGAATATGAAAATGACAAGCAGCACTGAAGAACGTCATGGTTGGCTTACAGTCGCAGTAAACCAGTGAACTGGCCAAATCCCGTTTTCAGTGTAAAGCTCTTCTGTCCTGTGAGCAGCTCTTAGCCGTGTGAGGTTAGTGGCCGCTAGATTATACAGCTAAATGTGACTGTAACTTCATTAAAATGAAGTAAGTAAAACTTGATTTTCTTGGTAACACTGGCGGTGTGTCGAGTGTCCGGTAGCCACTGCTCAAGCTGTGGGTCCCCACCACCTCTGGACCGGAGCGGGAAGAGGCCACGCTGCTGTCCTGGCCCCTACTGAGCCTCGGATCCTCTGTGCTGGAGGTGGGGTTGTTCAGGAGCCGCCGAGCCACCTGGTCCTTGGTGAGCAGGTGGCTGGGCTCTCCTGGGACTGAGTGTGCCTCGTGTCCACGGGCCCAGTAGCCCCTGCCTCTGCCAGGCCCGGCAGGTGTCGTCAGCCCGCGCTCCCTGTCACAGCCACACAGAGGAGGGCGCTGCGTAGTGTCAGCTCTGGAGACCAGTGTGGTCAGCTGAGAGCAGCAGCCGGAAACAGTACAATTTTGTGCATAATTTAGATAAGTGGATCTTTTATAATGTTGCTATGACAGAAATGGTGATACTTTTAGACCCAGCAATAGCATTAGCTTTGCCTAATGAAGATCCGGGGTCTGCTAATAGTAGGGTATCATTAAGTGTTTGGTTTGTTGGGGTACCTGAGATAAAAGCCATGAAGAACGTTAGGGCTTCCTGTGTGTAGGCTCTCATCATACCTGTGTTTCATGTGTGCATACAGCTCGGTGCTGCATCTTGGGTAATGCATGAGCTGTTCTCTCCCCTTCTTTCCGACAGCAGCATCGAGCCCCGGCTGCTGTGGGAGAGAGTGGAAAAGCTGGCGCCCAGGCCTGGCAGCGGAAGCTCTTCAGGATCCAGCAACTCGGGATCCCAGCCCGGCTCACATCCTGGCTCTCAGAGCGGCTCTGGGGAGCGCTTCCGAGTGAGATGTAGGGTGCCGTTCTGTACCCACCCCCCTCCTCCCTGTTAGCGACACTGGCTCTGGGTAGTGCGCTGAAGGCTCCGGCCGTGGGGCTGCCTGGCGTTTGCACAGTGCATGTCACAGGACAGGTCATAGCGTAGGTTTAATGGCACCGGGAGTCACCATAATTTTAATACGAGAGCTGACTTCTGAGCGCTTACTCGTGCCTCGCAGTGTGAGCGCTTCACCTGTGTTGTCTCATTTCATCTTCGTCATCACCTCATGAGACACACTAACTGTGCATCCACTTTACAGACCGCAGTAACCGGTTCAGTGAGATTGAGTAGCTGGTCCAAGGTGATCTTTGAACCTACTTCTTTTACCACAGACTCCATCAGCATTGGCATTAACATGGGTATTTAAACCTACTCGTCGTAATAGATTATGTTAGGGACACGACCAGGTTCTGTGAGGACATGTTACGTAGAGAGTGGTGGTGATGGAGTCTGGGTAGGAGTCAGAAGCCCAGGAGTACAGACTGACCTTTGGAGACCCTGCACAGAGGCCGAGAGTAGTGGGCAGGGGCGATGGGGAGAAGCAAAGGCTGGTGGGCCAGTCTGCCTTGTGGCACCATCTGGATGCTTTTATGTATCTGCCTTTCTTGTCTCTCTTGAATTTCACAGCATCATCCAAATCTGAAGGCTCCTCGTCTCAGCGCCTTGAAAATGCAGCAAAAAAACCTGAGGACAAAAGAGAAGTGTTCAGACCTCTGAAGCCTGCGGTAAGGCGTGCGCAGCCTCGTGCTCCCTCCGGGTGTGGGGAGATCTTCCTGCTGTGAGCATGCCCTCGAGGCACGCCTTTCTGTGGGCCCGCACAGAAGTGAGGGGTTAGAATGAAAGCCATAGCCCTCGGACACATTTATGCCCTCCCAACTAGTCACTAAGAAATACAGAAGAAAGAAAGCTTTACTCTTTGCTTTGCATTAGCCTCTGTGCATCCTAGATGAGCTGAGTGTTTGTAATACTGGCTTTAGAATCCTTTCCCTCCCCTTTTTAACATCACCTGTTATTTAAGTTCTGCCTTTTGGTACCTAGAGAGCCAGCTGTGACTTTCCTATGCTCCTTTTGTAACCCCTGCCGCACTAACCGACCCTGTCTCTGCACACATTGCGGATTGTGCACCTGTTGGAACTATGATTTCCTGCTTGATGAGTTCTGTGCTCCGTCTCCCTCTCTCCGTGCTCCCCGTGCTGTGCTCCCGCCCCACCGACTGCACGGCTGCTGAATGCAGAGTGAAGTGGTAAGCTGTCTCTGGAAACGTGGGAGCCATTCCAACTGCCTTTTACATCAGCCTCCATCTGCATTGCTTTTCCTTCCTCACTTTATCTTGTATTCTTTTCTAGAATGACCAAACCCTTATCTTTTGCTTCATCTTTTTAACACACAAAATTTGCTGCATGCATTTTTTGTTATTATCTATACTTGTGGGTTTTTTTTCATTGTGTTTTTTGTGTGTGTGTGTGTGTGTGTGTGTGTGTGTTTTAATTTTTAAAAAGCCACACTGTATTCATGCAATGGTTAGCAAGGCTCAAGGTCCATACTTGGTCACTATGATTTCAGAGGCTTGGGCTTAGGCTCAAAGAAAGGAAACATGCTCCTTGCTAGGGAGAAGAAAACTGGTGGACCTGCTGGGGGGAAGGCTACAAGGCCTGCTTTGTAAAAAGTCATTGTTTTAAAATAAAATTCCCAAGTAGAAAGATTAACTTCGGACTTCTGTATGAAATGCGGACTATGAATAATAGTCACACTTGGTCATTATATTTGGACTAGAGGCCCTGTGCACGTATTCGTGCACGGGGTTCCTGGACTGTGAGAGGGAGGTTCTCAGAATCGGGCTCCCTCCTCTCTGGTTCCAAGTGTCTCACCTAAGATCTGCCTTTTCCAAGTCACCACAGTTTGGCAGCTCCTGGTCTGAGCGTCTGCCCTCTGGTGGTCAGTGCACATCAGAGCATCAGTTGGTTAGTCGCTTAGGTTTTTATTTATAGAGATAATTGATTGAGTCTTAAAATAGCTCAGTATAGATTAGAAAAGGGAAACCTTTCCTGTGATTTCTCTCTGATGTTCACATGCAAGGTGATAATTTGAAGATTTGGGGTAAGGCAGGGACAGGTGGATGTTCTCCTTTAAAGAAGACTTTGTGCCCAGTTGGCATGGCTCGGTTGAGCTTCCACCTGTGATCCAAGAGGTCCTGGTTCCATTCCTAGTCAAGGCACATGCACAGGTTGTGGGCTCTATCCCCAGTGAGGGGCATGCAGGAGGCAGCCAATCAATAATTCTCATCATTGGTGTTTCTCTCTCTCCCTTTTCTCTTCCTCTCTGAAATCAGTAAAAACATGTTTTTTAAAGAAAGACTGTTAAATTGGCAGGTATCTTCATAATAAATTTCAAGGATATGTCTACATAAATTTCTATCTAGAATTGTATAGTTGGGGAAAAATGCTAGCAGCTTATCATAAGCAGATTCTTGTTGGGGGGGGGTTTGGTGTGAGATTTGGGCTGTCTGACTGTTTGGTCTTTTTTGTCAGAAGAGCTCACCTTCACATACTGGTAAATACTCGACCACACAGTTTTCCAAAGCTGAGGTCGTGGCTCTTTTACTGACGGTGAAAGTGAACATCTCACTCCTTGCTGCTCTCTCCTCTCCTCGGCCTGCTCACTCCCGTCTGTCCCCGCACTAGGACCTGACTGCACTGGCCAAAGAGCTGCGAGCAGTGGAGGACGTGCGGCCGCCGCACAAGGTGACGGACTACTCCTCGTCCAGCGAGGAGTCAGGGACGACGGATGAGGAAGACGATGAAGTGGAGCAAGAAGGGGCCGGGGAGCCCATGTCCGGACCAGAGGACACCAGAGCAGCGTCAGTCCTGGGTGTATTCAGATAGGAGAGCCTCACCGAGTCTGGCTGCCGCGGGGACAGGGGTTCCCTGACCTGTGTTGAGACCACGAGCGTGGAGCGCGGCCAGCTGCCCGTGTGCATGCAAGCCAGTGCCTCTCCCCAGGCCCCCTGTGTAGTTCCTGTTTTCTTTTTAATTTGAAAGTCTGGTAAAAGGGAAATTTCTGATTGGTTTAACTACTTTAACCATAAGCATTTGTTCTGATTTTTTTGCTCAAAAACAAATTGTGCCTGCAGGAACGTTTGTTGGTGGGAAAGTGCTAAGTATTTGCTTTCCTTAAGGAAATGGTCTACTTGTGGCCTGATCTCCTAATGACCTTGGGAAGTTGAGAGTGTAGACAGAATATTCTCAGCTGATGGTATTTATGGCCCTTCACCTCTGGATTTTTCTCAGTAGGTCATCTCTGAATTTGAGCAATGGGGAGACAGAATCCGTGAGAACCATGATTGTCCATGACGATGTGGAGAGTGAGCCAGCCATGACCCCGTCCAAGGAGGGCACGCTGATTGTCCGCCAGGTACCATGTCTCCACACACTTGTCAGGCTGAGCTTCTCCTGAGTCATTAACCCACTTGCTCATCCACTCCTCATGCTGTTTCTCCATCATCATCTGTTCTCATGTTAACGAGCCCCGAGGGCTGAGTGTCTGGGCCAGGGCGGCAGGTGTGAGCTGCATGACAGGAGCGGGGCTGGCGGCGCCCCTGCATTGCTGCCTCTGCACGCCCCCCAGCCGCGTCAGCACCACCCAGAGTCTGTGTGTCTAGAGTAGGAAAGCCACAGGGCGGCCCTCAGGAGGCTGCGCGCCAGGGCCTCGCCGGGGCCCTGCAGAGAGCATGTGAGCCGAGCCAGGCAGGAGGGCCCATGCAGCAGCAGGCGGAGGTCACTCTGTGTCCCAAATGCTCTCTCCCTTCCCGCCAACCGTTAGTGCCCCACCCAGATGCGCTCAGTTGGGTGACCGCCTTACAGCTGTCTGTCCATTGCTTCGCTGAGCTGTGAGGACAGGTGTCTGCTTCTCCTTTAAATACAACAGGCGCCTGCCCAGCACATTGACGTTTCCCTGAGTATGTCTCGTGCTGTGGCACTGCATTCGGGTGGAAAAGACCAGGATTCAAAGAAGCAATGCGCACATTCTAGAGCTTTAGATAGAAAGGTTTAAAAAGAAAAGCCACTGCCTGTGGTTTCGGTGATGGCAGCTAGGGTGGCAGGCTGAGCAGATGGGCGCTGCTCAGTGCCGCCCGGGCAAGTGCCTCCGTGCTGCTGGCCCTGCCTGGGCGTCAGCAGGGAGGCGAGCAGCAGCCGCCCCGCCTCTCGGTGGAGAGGAGCCGTCAGGAGTCACCGACCCCAGCAGAGGCAGTTGTCAGGGGCGTAGGCAGCTCCAGCGGCGCCTGAGCGAGACAAGTGTGCCTGTTTTTTCTACAGAGTACAGTTGACCAAAAGCGAGCCAGCCATCATGAGAGCAATGGCTTTGCCGGGCGCATTCACCTCTTGCCAGATCTCTTACAGCAAAGCCATTCCTCCTCCACTTCCTCCACCTCCTCCTCCCCATCTTCCAGCCAGCCGACACCCACCATGTCCCCACAGACACCCCAGGACAAGCTCACTGCTAATGAGGTAGGTCTTGCCCATGCTGGCTGCTCTCCTAGGTTAGAGCTGCTGCCTGGTAGCGAGTGTGCAGAGCAGACCTCCCACGTCCCTCCCCTGCCTTCCCCAACCGCTTTCTTCTGTCACCTCCCTCCCTTCACCCCCAAGTAACATGGTTCAGATCCGCATACAAATCCCATAACGGACCAGTCTCCCCGCTCCTGCAGCACACTTCCCTGGTCTTGCAGTCAGTGTAGCTGCATGGCTTTTTGTGTTCAGTTTACTTTCCAAAAGTCTAAATGAAGTGATTGCTGTGTTCTCAGAGCCATTATGTATTTGGCATGTAACTCTCAGGGTCATTTGTGGAATCCTCCTTCCTTTTATCCAACGAAGAAAGCAGAGCAGTTGGTAAAGCAGACGTGGCCTCCTTGGACAAGCTGGCCGTCGGAGCGGGCGTGTCCTGCAGACAGGCTTTCTGCCAGGGAGGCACTGCTGATTGGTTTTCACCAACCCTCCAAAGACTTTTCCCTTTGAAATCCACAGTCACTCAGAGTTTAAGAAGAGGCCACGTGTTTTTTGGGTAAACCTAAACACATAGGGTTTTAAGCAGGAAGGTCTGAGTGTGCTTTTAATGTGAGGCCTGGAGTGGGCCTCGGGCTTGGCTGTGGCACTTTGTCGGGCGCTGGGTGATCTTCGCTCTTAGGGACGGGTCACACCCCCTTCCTAGGTGGGAGCAGTGACGCAGTGTGCTGTGAGCACCTGTTACTGAACTGAATCGTGATGATTTGATTTCTTGGGAGGTTAGATTTTAATGCATTTGTCTAAGAGTTGAAGGAGGTCAGAGGTGGCAGGTGGTTTCCGCCAGTCTTGTTGCTGGGAACCTCTACCTGCTGGCCCGCCTGCCTGCTTCCATTTTGGTTCCCTTGTTAGAATTAGAATGGTCCTTTCCCCTGAGGAGCAGGGGCACGTTGACTGCTTCCCAGGCAGGCTCGGCACAAGACTGGGCGTCGGCTGGGCTGGCCACTGGTCGTGGGACGGGGCAGCTGGGAGCCGAGGAGGGCATTGGCTCCAGGACAGGCGAGCTGCCCGCGTGGGGAGACGGTATGGGTGCCAGCCCTGGAGCAGACAGGTTCTGTGTCCTCTGCCTGCACACACATCCTCTTACAGTTGCATTTCAGTTTTGCTCCATTTTGCTCTACTGCACAGTATTTACTATACCCCTTAACCCACTAAACTGGCAAGTTTATTTTCTGTTTGTTTTGTTTTTAATTGCCATTACATTTTCACTTAACAATTTGTTTCACTCTCCTGTGTTTTTTCTCTGAAGTTACATTATTAACCACAACCCTGGTGCTCCTCAAAGAGCTGGGCGTGGCCTCTTGGTCGGCACCACTCCCTCTGGAGCCCTGGTGGTGCTCTAATGGTGACACACCTCGTGCGGATCGCCAGTGCTCCTTGCTTCCTGGCAAGAGGCTCACTTTACAATAAGTCACATGAAGTTAGGATTTGCCAGGACTCCAGCATAGGTTAATTGGACTTTTTTGGACATGAAAGTAAATTCAAAAGTAGCAGAAATGAGATCACGACATTTCCAACCTCCTTTAGGAGGTTTCATCATTATTGTTTTAAACGACTAGGAGCTGGAAGTGTAGGTGGATTGGCAGCGTGCAGCGTTGTTGGCCTGTGCGCAGTGCTCAGGGAAGGTCCACGCATGCCGTGGAGTGTGTGCGCATGCAGGCCCCTCGGGTACTGCGGAGGGGGTGCAGGAGGACAGGCTGGCTGGGGGAGCTGTGCGTTTTCGGGGTGGGTTGGGATGTTTTAATGTTTGCCTTTCTCATGTCATTGTATTAATAAAATTGAAATTTACATTGCAGACTCAGTCCGCTAGTAGCACACTCCAGAAACACAAATCCTCCTCCTCCTTTACACCTTTTATAGACCCCCGATTACTGCAGATCTCTCCATCTAGCGGCACCACAGTGACTTCCGTGGGTAAGTGAAGCGGCAGCAGCAGCTGGCACCGGGGCGCGGCCCTTTGCCTCGCTCTCTGGTGCCTCTGGCACACCTCTCCCGCTCGCACTGCCTTATTTGCCGTGAGCTGCGGAGTTAACTTCCTTTCCACATCCATCTCCTACAAGCTTCTTTTCCTGGACAAAGATTCGGTTATGGCCATGAATATTACCTCTGGGGGGGGGGGAGCAGGTACAGTGCTGGCATGGACAGAGAATAATTCCAAGTGTACTGTGTTTCAGTGGGATTTTCCTGTGACGGAATGAGACCGGAAGCCATAAGGCAAGATCCTACCCGGAAGGGCTCAGTGGTCAATGTGAATCCTACCAACACTAGGCCACAGAGCGACACTCCAGAGATCCGCAAATATAAGAAGAGGTTTAACTCTGAGATCCTGTGTGCTGCCTTGTGGGGTAGGTAGCTTCCTGCCACTCTGGCCCTGTGCTGTTCTGAGCGGTGGTCTGGTCCTTCAGGGAAGGGAGTGGCGCGGTTTGGGGGCTTTGAAGAGCTGCTCAGGGCGAGATGGTGGGTGCCTGTGGTCTCATCCCTGTGGCTGCCGGACAGCGGTGGTGCTGGGCTCGCTGCCACCTGTCCAGCCACCAGGGATTGGGAAGAAGGGCTCGTCTCCATTTCTTCACGGAAAGAAGCAAAGTGAAGGACAGGAAGACACTGGGTTTGGTTCATGTTTGTGGGGAAAAGGGAGAAATGTGTCGAATTATTTTCTTCGGGTGTGTCACTGAGCTTGTTTTCCTTGCTGCCTGTGCCATGGGCCTGACGCTTTAGAAGCAAGTGCACTGACAGGGCCCTGGCTGTGGGGTGCCTTCCCTGACCTTTGCAGTGTAGGTGACCGCATGTAGACCTGCCGTGGAGAGGGCCACACACAGACACTGCTCCACACTACCGCCCTCTCTGCTGTCTGCTCTGCTCGCTGACTGGATCCTGGACTCCCCTGCTCCAGCCCCTTACTGGGCGTGTTCTCCCCCTAAACGCCATCTCTGCCGTCTTTAATAGGGACTCTGCTTCTCCTCGGGAAAGTTTCTTACTCCCTGGACATTGCCAGTACGTGCATGGGACACACGCAGCTCTCATTGGTGGAGCCCAGCACATTTTCCTCATGCACGTTCCTGGAGTGTCGTCTGCGTTCTCCACAGGGGCGGGGCCAGCTCTCCTCACTGTGAGGCTGACATGAAGCCCCACTTTCACTTCTGACCTCCAAGGGGCCCTCGTCCCGTCTGTGAAGAAGAGCTCTGCATTTGATAACCTTCCTCCCATCTGGCTCCTTCCTCACACGCTCTCAGCCTCTTCCGGGGCTGGAGGGCTTGTCTGCTCTGCCCATTGCAGACACACCTGCTTTCTCTTTTATTCCTGAGATCTGGACTTGTGTCCTTGTCACCACTGAGTGTTTTAAACCCCCTAATGACCATAAGGATGCTTCTTTATTTCTGCCAGGCAAGGGAACAAGCCATTGGGTAATCAGGCTCAGGTGACCACAGCCCTGAGTGCCAAGGCCACTCCTGGGGCTGGGCCTTCCATCACCTCTGCACAGGCCATCGGGTTGCTCACGTCATCAAACATGATTATGTTACGTCCAGTGCAAAAAGTGTTAAATATGTTCACTTTTAGAAATAGTCATAATTTTTATCCATAATGCTTCTACACTAATTTTATATTCCTCTAATGTCCTGCCAAGTGCTGGGCCCCATTCTATGTGCCATTAACTTTTTTTTTTTTTTTTAACTAAAATTCTTTTTCCTAATTAACTTCTTTAATACCTCTGAGAAAAATAGGAGTGACTTGAGCCAATGTTTTTAAAAGTGAAGTGCCTTAGAGGGACACGTGTCTGCGAGCCGCTGTGTTTGAGTTGCTCACGGCTGCCGTGACTGTGAAGGTCCAGTCGGCCCTGTAGAGGGCGGGCCGGACAGACCCGCACCTGGGAGGTGGACTCGGAGGGTTTCGCTGCAGCGGGAATCACAGCGTTTCTGTCCTGCTGGCCATGGTTGGGTGCCTTCGCTTTTTTGTACCTTCAGGGAAAATGTTTGAGAATGAACTGCTGCATATTTATTATATTTTTTTAGTAAGGCAGTCTTCCCCTTCACAACCAGGATTATTTTAACACATTTTTTAACGTGATTGTTCCCATCCTTATGTTCAGAATGAACTAGAGGTCTGGTTCATGAAATTCATGCACACACAGGTAATAGGGTCCCTAGGCCTGGCTGGTGCCTCCCTTCCCTGGCTGCAGGCTGCCGGCCTGGACCTTCCTTCATTCCGCGCTGTCCCCTGGTGGTCAGTGCATGTCATAGCAAGTGATCGAACTCCTGGTCTCCCAGTCCAACTCCCAAGAGGACACTTTGCATATTATAGCCTTTTATGTATATAGATTATCTGCAGCTAACTATGTAATATTGTACTCACCATGGAATTTAAAGGAAATTTAAATCACGTGTTATACAGCTCTCCTGGCAGCCTGTGCCAGGTTCCTCTGACTGCACTCACAGTTCCTAGCACCACACACCTCTGAACAGTTAGCAAACATTTAATTTACCCAGCAGCCTATTGCAGCATGTGACCTGTCTCCTAGGCCCCTCATCTCCCAGGGATGGTCTCCCAGTGACTGGCGTGTCCGTTTGGCGCTGGCTCTCCACACTTGGCGCAGTGCCAGGAAGTGTGCTGGCCACGTGGAAGGTGGGGAGTGAGGGCCAGACCAGCTGCAGTTCTGTGTGTGAAAAGATATTTCAGCGTCATCTTTTATTTCTTACTGTAAGATTGTGATTGGTATTTGAATGCTATTTATTTTTGGAAACCACAAATAATATATTTCACAAGGCTCATATTTCAGGTGGATATTATTAGATCTTTGATGTAGATGTTTTTAGGTACTTGATATTGACGGTTAACCAGGAAGGTGCTGGAATGTTGTGAAATGAAGTGAAGCCTTTGGAGTGGACCTGTCTGATGGCAGCTCTGTCGGTTAATGTTTCGTTTTATCTGCTGCAAATAAGTTTAAAGCTGCTTAGAATCACCTTACTTAGGTGTGGAGGGAATCACTAAGAACAGCGTCCAAATGAGCTCTGCTTCAATCCTCGGCAAAGCGGCCACCTCAGACGGGCGGGCTCCGGGGAGCGGGCCAGGCGTCCGTCTCCTGTGCTGACCCGCACCCGGCAGCGGAGTCGGGCTGCGCCTGCTGAGCACTGGCCTTGTGTGAGCCAGGAAAAGTCACCCCTGAGCAAGCTGAAAGCTGGACGTTTCCTGGCTAATGGAGCCAGGGTCGGTCATGCCCGTGGCTGCTTAGGTTTCAGTGAACTCATAGAGAGCGTTTCCTCGGTTGGCCCAGACACAGTCGGGTGCACAGTAGCCGCCAGGGGCCGTGGCTGACCTCGGACCTTGCATGGAAGGTGCCAGGCTGTTTAGATGGCACGTGCTGAAGCCCCGTCACAGGTGACAGAGAAGCCATGTGCACGTGTGGCCTTTTCCAAATGTTGTGCAGATGGTGACGGTTCTTGGTGGTTCTGTTTAACTGTGAGGGTCACTCAAGATGGGGAGTGACGACTCAGGTTTTCCTCTTTCTCCACATCCCAGGGGCTCCCCTCCAGCTTTCTGAAGTGATTTCATGGTCTGTCAGGCTGACAGCTGTCACACGAGGCCACACTAGACAGGGCCTCCATGACCGGTGGGTCGTGGGCGGCATGCTCCTGCACAGTGCGCAAGGGAAGGGCGAGCTGTCCGTGCTTGGTGGTGGCAGTGGCGCTTTCACGGTCGTTGCACTGTCGTCAGAAGCTGGCACCCTGGTCTCTGGACTCAGGAGTTCGCCATTTGCTGTGCATTGAGGATTCAGAGGTCTGTGCCAGCGCTTCTGCGAGACCTCAGGGTAGCTCCCCAGTGTGCCTCCCCCCTGGTGCTGTAGCCCCCTGCCTGCCTCCCTTCAACCCACCTGGGGCTGCAGGGCCTGTGTGCTGCCCTTCCCTGCTGCTGGAGTCGGCGCTGAGTTTAAGGAGCAGTGACAGCGAGGACCTGTATAAACTCCAGTCCTGCTTTGCTTAGGCCTCAGTGCTCACAGGCTCCTCACTAGCCTTGCTGAGGTGGGGTTCCACCTGCTCATGTCAATCAGAGCCAGGAGCCTGCTGGGAGGGTGTGCAGACAAGGAGCCAGGAGCCTGCAGGGAGGGTGAGCAGACAGGGAGCCGGGAGCCTGCTGGGAGGGTGAGCAGACAGGGAGCTGGGAGGGTAAGTATGGAGCTGGGAGCCTGCTGGGAGGGTGAGCAGACAGGGAGCCGGGAGCCTGCTGGGAGGGTGAGCAGACAGGGAGCCGGGAGCCTGCTGGGAGGGTGAGCAGGGAGCTGGGAGGGTGAGCAGACAGGGAGCCGGGAGCCTGCTGGGAGGGTGAGCAGACAGGGAGCTGGGAGCCTGCTGGGAGGGTGAGCAGACAGGGAGCTGGGAGCCTGCTGGGAGGGTGAGCAGACAGGGAGCTGGGAGCCTGCTGGGAGGGTGAGCAGGGAGCTGGGTGCCTGCTGGGAGGGTGAGCAGACAGGGAGCTGGGTGCCTGCTGGGAGGGTGAGTAGACAGGGAGCTGGGAGCCTGCTGGGAGGGTGAGCAGACAGGGAGCTGGGAGCCTGCTGGGAGGGTGAGTAGACAGGGAGCTGGGAGCCTGCTGGGAGGGTGAGCAGGGAGCTGGGTGCCTGCTGGGAGGGTGAGCAGACAGGGAGCTGGGAGCCTGCTGGGAGGGTGAGCAGACAGGGAGCTGGGAGCCTGCTGGGAGGGTGAGCAGACAGGGAGCTGGGAGCCTGCTGGGAGGGTGAGCATGGAGCTGGGAGGGTGAACTGGAAGGGAGCATTCTTCATATGATTCCTGGGAGTCGGAACATGCACTAGTGGCCCAGTGTATGAAAATTGGTGCACTGGAGCGCGGGAAGGGGTGGGTCCCTCAGCCCGGCCTGCACCCTCTTACAGTCTGGGACTCCTCAGGGGATGTCCACCTCCCAGCTTAGGCCCGCTCCCTAAGCTGGCAGTCAGACACTCCTCCGGGAGCCCTTGGGGATGTCCGACTGCAGGCCTAAGCTGCAGTCCGATATCCTCAGTGCTACGAAGGAAGTGGGAGAGGCTCACGCCACCACCACTGTGCTCGCAGCCGTCAGCCTGCGAGGGGCGGGAGGGAGCAGGGGCTGAGGGCTGTGGCTGAGCAGAGCTCCCCTCTGGGAGTGCACTGACCACCAGGGGGCAGCTCCAACGTTGAGCATCTGCCCCCTGATGGTCAGTGCACATCATAGTGACTGGTTGTTCCGTTGTTAGGGTCAATTTGCATATAACCCTTTTATATAGGAAGATATGTGTGTAACAAAATGTGGACCATGGGGTTCAAAAAATACATACTTTGTTCTGTATCATATCATCTACCTGGAAATGTTGATTGAGCAATTACTTCCTCAAAGCACAGACACTTTATTTCATGTCTCAGTGATTTTATTTCCCAGTTTAGGGAATTAGTGCAAATGTGTGTGCCCAGGCCCCTAGGACCACAGGTGATCTCTGCTCCAAGTTCACAGTTAGCTCGGACCAAGGAAGAACGTGCCCTTGGGGAAGGAGTGGGTGCTAGAGAAGTAATTTGGCTCGGGCAGATTCCAAATGCTCAGCGAGACTGTTGTGGCCAGGTGGCTGACGTGCAGTCTGGCTCGATGAGGACTTGGTGGGCAGTCCTGGGGAAGGGCAGGGGCGCTGTACCCCCAGGCATGGTCTTGGGGAAAATGGGCTGTGGCAGGGATGGAGTTAGGAGTTAGTGGTTCAGAGGTGCTACTCCAGCAGCTGCACATAGGACTGTGGAAATGAGGGGGTGGCTGCAGAGGCGAGGAGTAGGGGCTGAGGGCAGGTGCAGCTTCTCTCTTGGTGATGACGGGGGTGTCTGTAAGAGCAGCGGTTGCCAGCCTTTCGGACCTCATGGGCCACCGGTTGGCTGCCACTGTGCAAGAGAACCTTGGCCTGACGGTAGAGTCCGACCACCAAAGGGCTGTGTGCGGCCCTTTCGGTGGAAATGGCGGCAGAGAAGGCAGTGTGTGGTCAGGAAGTGAGACGAAGGTTGCTCAGTGTCTAGTGTGGTGAGTGAGCTCTCATACCGAGGAGGTGTGAGCCCGAGCCAGCCTGGGGAGCACAGAGCTGGTGGGTGTGGAGAGCGGGTGCGGTTCCCCCAACATCCTTTTCTCCATCTGTGGAAGTATGTCCCCCTCACCTGACTGCTCACCTGTGACTGTGGCGCCATTCCTTTCTGGGGTGAGTTAGGAAACCACCCCGCCAGCCAGGTAGCTCCCTCTGCCCCCAGCCTACCTGCCAGCACAGTGTAACCCAGGCCTGTCTGTCCTTGAAACAGGAGTGAATTTATTGGTGGGGACAGAAAGTGGCCTGATGCTGCTGGACAGAAGTGGCCAAGGAAAGGTATATCCTCTGATCAACCGAAGACGATTTCAGCAAATGGATGTCCTCGAAGGCTTGAATGTTTTGGTGACAATATCTGGTAAGTATCTGCTCAGTAGAGCAGGATTATAGCACTGTCTAAAACAGCACCTCCTAACACTGACCTTCAGCTACTTCAGTTTCTGAAGTAATGGCTAAATGAAATGAGATATAGTTGGGTCAGGTGTGACCCACCTGCACACCCTACCCCTGGGTGCACCCGACGCCCAGGTGCACTTTAACCCCGGGTGCACCCTAACCCCGTTCCTCTGGGAGCAGCCTTGGGAAACACGGGTGCCTCGGCGTGGACACCACCACGATCCCCACTGCCCTGTGGCTGCTCTGTGCCGCCGCCTCCCATGCTCCTGGTCATGCAAAGGCACTGCTCCTGCCGCAATAGTAAAAGTTCTTCCACCAGTTAGCACCATACGTTTCTTCTCAGGAAGAGCACCTTTTTTAGTATAGATTATGTAGTAAATGCTCATTATTGAAAGTGACAAATGCTGCAGAAAAGCAAGTACAAGTAAAACCTGAAATCATCTAAAGATAAGGTGTATTAACCTTTCACTTTTTATCTTCCAGTCTTTTAAGCATAGACACACTCAAAATATAATACACACTTCCAGGGGGGAAATCTGCATAAAAATGGTTATGCAATGTTTCAAAACATCCAGAGAATAAAAACGAGAAAATAGGTCACCCATATACTGATTAGCTGGTTTTATTAGAAGTTACAACAACACACTATTGTCCATGGCCTCCCACCTCCCTCAGGAACACTGTCCTGTGTGCCCTCCATTCCTGTGTCCAAACCTTGCAGCCTGCTCCTCCCATCATTGGACATTCTCCCATGATCCCGTCTCACAGACCCCGTGCTGCTCTGCGCAGCTGTGCTAACATTCACTCGCCTTGTTGTACGTCTTTCTGTTCATCCCTCCCCCTTACGTATTCGTGTTTCACAAATGTCTTTGTAGCTTGCTTATCCATGGGCATGCATACTCATGTTTCATAGATTGTGATTTCCTAATAACTTGTAGTAGTGCTGGGACCAAAGAGGATCAAAATTATGACTTTAAGTAGGTTTTAGTTTGGTTTAGTTATCTGCTAACTCAACCTTGTGTTTGTTTATATGTAACAAATTTCTTGCAGTTATTTTAGTTTTCAAATAGGCTTTGGTTGTAAGTAAAGGTATTTGTTGAAATGCAAAAATGTCACCAGCCCACTTAAATGAGAAAACAGTCATTTAAAACTTGAGTGTTACTGGGGAGTGGGTTCTGAAACGGGAGAAAAGTAATCTGGAGGGAGAAGCCTCAAAAACAGGAACACTTAGCGTAAACGTTACTCCAGTCTTTGGCATAGCTGTTGTTAGCGTTTTATTGTATTTTCCTCTCTTTTCTATAAATATATCTCACAATATGGGAATAAAACTCTACATAAAACTATGCAGTCTTTGTTTCACGATAGTCAATATTCTCCCATATTCTTCAAAATTTAAAAAGTATGAGACATAGCACAGAAAATCCACAGGTGCTGAGTCTGAGCTCAGTGATGGTCAGTGAGAGCCCATGCAGCCCGCACTGGTGGAGGGTCAGCCCACGCTCCCAGATGCTCCCTCATGCTGCCTGCCAGGCACAGACGGAAACACGCTCCTGACTTAACACCTTCCATTGCTTTTGCCTTCATTGACCTGAAGTCACATTAATGGTAAAGTCATAAGTCTCACCCCAGAGACTGTGTCTGCCACTTTAAGTATGTAGTTTCTATTGGGGTGCACTCTTGGTGTTGTGCATTCTGTGGGTTCTGACAAATACATAATTACCCACCATGACAGTGTCATACAGACTATTCTCACTGCCCTGAGAATCCTCTGGGCTCCACCTACTCACCCTCTGTCCATGCCCCTGCAACAGCAGATCTTTCTCACTGTCTCTCGGTGGTGACGTTTGCCCTTTCAGAATGTTAGAGTTGGAATCACAGCATGTAGCCTTTCAGATTGTTTAGTTTCAAATTTCCAACTGCTTTTGCAAGTGTATAGGAAAGAAGTTGACTTTAAAAACAAAACATTTTTATTGATTTTAGAGAGAGGGAGAGGGAAGGGCTGGGGGGAGAGAAACAGCAATCAGCTGTCTCCTGCATGCCCCCATCAAGGATTGAGCCCGCAAGCCAGGTATGTGCCCTGACAGGGAATCCAGCCGGTAACCTCTCGGTACATGGGCCAACACTTCAAGCAACTGAGCCACTGGGCAGGGCTTGCCTGGATTTTTATCATGAGACGGTGCTGGGTTTTGTCCAATGCTTTTGTGTGTGAATGGTTTATAGCTGTATTTGTCCCTCTTTATTCCTGTGGATGGCATGTCACACTCCTGCTGTTGATAGACGCTCGTGTTGTTTCCTCTGTGGGGCTGTTAGAAACAATGTTCATGTATGTGGGAGCTCCTATACACACATGTATATTAGGAGAGAAATTCCTGGATCATAGCAAGGTATACATATATCCTACTTGAATAGATAGCACCAAGCTTATCTGAGTGGTTCTCCCAAATGTCAGTGCTAGTTACTGAAGTTCCTAGTTATCCCACGTCGCCTGCTTTTAGTATTATTGCTCTTGTTAGTTCCAGACATGGATAGGTGTATGACACGGTGCCTCGTTGTCTCGTGTCATTCACTATTGACTTTGAGAGCAGTGCCTGTGTGTGTCTGTAAGGTAACTTGTAGCTCATCTGCTGCCACATGATTCTCATAGGGAGATAATAGTTATTGTTTCCTGAAGTTTCTTCTGTGACTGTTGTTATTGATGATATCTACTTTGTTTGTTTGCTAGGCAAGAAGGATAAGTTACGTGTCTACTATTTGTCCTGGCTGAGGAACAAAATCCTTCACAACGACCCGGAGGTGGAGAAGAAGCAGGGGTGGACCACCGTGGGAGATCTGGAAGGATGTGTGCACTATAAAGTGGGTGAGTCGCCACGGCCCGGCTTGTTTTCCCGGGTTTCGTTAGTGCTGCACTTACCATCCTGTGTGTAAAGCCCTGGCAGTAACCTGTCCTGACGCAGCTCACTCCTGTGACGTTTGTAAGGCCCCTCCCCATCCTGGAGGCTCGGCTGGCTGCAGGTGCACCTGGAGCAGGACACACTGTCCCCCTGCGACCCAGCTCGTCTGTGGCAGGGCCTCTGCCCTTCCTCGTTGACAGGCCACGCTCTCCTCTGTAAGATGGGGTTCAAATGATCTAAGGAAGCCAGTCGATTTGGAGGACTGAGAGCCAAGGACTCTGGGTCCCGGGCATCTGGAGGGGCCTGCACAAGGTTGCCAAGGGCTGTGCTTGGCATTTAGAATGGAGTCCGCTGTGCAGGCTCCTGCGATCTTAACAAGGAAATGAATCTGGCCAGCCAGTCCGTGTCTCATGGCAACTCTGCTTTTTCTTTTTGGTGTGCATGCTGTGGTTCCCATGAATGACGCCTCAAAAACAAAACAAAAACTGTTTTCTTTGTGTATTAAAAAAGTCAAAATGCCAGTATAAATATTGGAAATAAGGGGAAATCATGGTGCTTAGTTGAATTGAAGCTTTATGGGAGAGATGATCTACTATGATACTATTTGAAGGGGCAGCATGAAAAGATCGCGTGTCTGTCTCCCCGTTGTTAGCAGCATAAGGGCCTGCTAGCAGTGGCCTCTGCCTCTGCGTTTCCTCTGGTTCCGTGTTTGTGAAGCGCGTGCTGAGGGCAGTTCTCTGCTGCCAGGATGCGCTGTGTTGGCATTGTCTTCTTGCTTACACGAGCTGTCCACAGACCGTAGCCCTTGGCCAGTGATGGGCATGGCACTCGCCAGCATTAGAACGCTTCTGAGCGATACCAAACAATACTGGTGTCTCCTTGGCACTGATCTTGGATTAGGGTTTTCTGGGTTGTATTTATGTGGAACATGTTTGTTTGTTGAGGCGTAGTAACTAAACACATCTAAGTCTAAACTTAATGAGACAGCTCCAAGGCTGAAATGTTTATGATGGACAGTCCTGCATTGGGTGCTCAGGGCGGCCGTGTGGAGGGAATGGGTTTTCATCAAAACAAGTAGAGCCCTCTTGTGGCTCATTCCCATGGCACCTCAAGCAGCTTCTGGAGATGAGGATGCGGTGTGTCACTTACTAAATGGTGGAAGATGGAATTGAACAGGGAGAGGCACCGGTTAGCAGGCCTGACTCTTGTGCAAAGGAAGAGGCCCTTTACAAGGGCCTGCGTTCTGCCCAGGCCAATGCACGCCTGTGTTCAGGCCCTTGGTGTTTGTCAGCAGTCACCCGCAGGTTGAAACAGCGGGTACGGGCATTTGGAGTGTGTGTTCAGGACCTTCTCTCCCTGTGTGTAGATCACTGAAGAGACAGTTTCTTTATTCTCTCCCGCTCTTGAACAGAGCTTTAGCGGGAGCCCAGCACTCACGGCCTCTCCGGGGTGGACATGGCTGGGAATGGTGCTGGATCTCACACAAACAAGAGGACCCAGCCTCTGCCAGCAGGTGTTTGGTTTCAGACTCCTGTGCCTTGTCGAAGCGTCTGGAGGACCCGGGAAGCACAGGAGGCTTCGGCCTCGTGCTGTGATTTGGGGATTCTTACTGATTAGTCTCATCACTGTCCTTTTCAAGTGCTACTGAGCCCTTGACTTTGGGGGGATACGCCTGGCATCCCCCGGATAATTAAATACTTGCAGTATAAGATTAGGAGCAAGTGAGAGTACTCAATGGTAGTAACCAGCGAATTGAACAGCCTGAATCCTGCACCAGAGAACTTGAAACTGTGAGGCTTGATCTCACTCAGCATTTCCCACCTGTTGGTTTGGGTGAACCAAAAGAAGTCATCTTTATTTAGTTTGCAGAAGACAGCCCAAAGAATTTAGAGTTCCATGTTGATACTGACTTGTGTTCCCGTTTGTTGTTCCCGTTTGTTTTTTCAGTAAAATATGAAAGAATCAAGTTTCTCGTAATTGCTTTGAAGAGTTCAGTGGAAGTTTATGCGTGGGCACCCAAGCCATACCACAAGTTCATGGCCTTTAAGGTAACAACATCGAGTGCACTGAAAAGTGACATTAGTCATGCATGCTACGAGCACAAGCCAGGAAACAAGTTTAAAAACCGGGGACAGTTAAAGCCGATCTCGTGAAAGCTGTCACTAACAGTGTCTAAGCGGCGTCTCTGCTCTCCTGCCCCAGCATGCGGTGGAGAGTGGGTGCTGTCGGACGCTGGTCACCCTGCCCATGTGGCAGCGAGAACGGCAGAGGCACACCGCCTCACTGACCCTCCTGTCCTCAGGGATGTGTCTAATGTAGATAGATAACAAAACAGTACCCAGTGATAGACAGCTTTACGGTGTATCTGTTCAATAGAGGACTGGTTAAAAACTGTTACAGCTCTAGCCGGGGCTCAGTGGTTAGAGCATCACCCCGAGAATTGAAGGGTCCCAGGTTTACTCTGGCCAAGGGCACATACCTCGGTTGAAGGCTTGATCCCCTGCCCCAAAGGAGTTGCGTGTGCAGGGCAACCAATCCATGTGTCTCTCTTCCCTCCTTTCCACTCTCTAAAAAACTCAATGGGAAAAATATGCTTGTGTGGGGATTAAGAATTTTAAAAATAAATTAATAAAATTAAGTTACAGAAGTTATTATTGACACCAGAAATGAATAATATAATATTACACCCTAAATAGAAAAGTAGATTAAAATATGTATAATATGCCATTTTTGTTTAAAGAAAAAAATGTAGAAAAGTATTTTTGATATTTTAAAAATAATTTTAGAGTTTGTACTAGATATAAATTTACGAAATTTTTAATTAAAATAATAGTACTATGACATTAAATATTGTAAATACATAACACATTGCGGACAGATCACAAGAATTCTCGCTTCACATTACACAGTGTTTTACTAAGTATCATGCTTTAAAAAGATATTAGCTTGTAAGAACATGAAATAAAAAACTTCAAGATGCAATGGGTATTTAATTTTAAAGCATGCCTTTAACATTTATGTAAAAAAAAATTGTACTTAGAAACTTATCTGACCGCTGGGTGAAGCTAGCAATAAAACTACTGGTTCGCAATGTGTTAATAACATCATTTCTAATATTAGACACAAAACCTTAAGCATGGCCTCTGTGTCTATTTAGTGTAGGGTGAGAATTTAAGAATTTTTCATCCAAAATGATTCTATTTACTTATTTAAAAAAATAGATTGCTTAATGCTTGGTTCCCAGTAGAGCTGGCTAGATGGGATTATCATGTTTGCTTAAACATAAATCTACAGCCCTGAATGGTTTGGTTTATGATAGTAGATAGTGTGTCAGCCTGTGAACTAAAGAGTACCGAGTTCGATTCCTGTTAAGGGCACATGCCCAGGTTGTGGGCTCATTCCCCAGTAGGGGGCAGGAGCCAGTAGATCAATGATTTTCATCATTGATGTTTCTATCTCTCTCCCTTCCTCTCTGAAATCAATAAAAGTATTTTTTAACTAAATAAATCTACATATTATTGAATGAAAGTAATTGTTATGAAATTATAATCATCTGAGATCGGCTCTGAATATATTCTCTGTGTTACAGGTATTGTACTATAATAATTGCTTTGAGTATCTTATTTAAATCTGTCTTGGGAGCTGTAGGTACTGATATCAGTGAAGAGCTAGGCTCCAGGCCATGTGTTAGAGCCTTTTGTCACTGCACCCCTGGTTAGAGGCGCAAGTCGCAGTCCTGGCAAAGCCTCTGCTCTGGCAGCGCGCTCTGCCCAGGACCCGTTAGACAGCTGAGGGTGTGCTGCAGGCCTGGCTCTCCCTCCGCCCCTCTGTGTCAGCAGAGCTCTCGGACTGGGGCGGGGAGTGTGGGATGTGGCTTTCGGGAGACGTGTTTTCTAGGTTTTCGTCACAGACACAGCCTGTTGAGTGAGAGGCTGTTGGGGGAGCGTGTGCTCTGGCTGTGTGGTGGCTCAGTCGCTGCAGGGCGGGCCTCTGTGCCTCACGCTCCTCTGCCTGTTTGTGCTGCAGTCGTTCGCGGACCTTGCGCACCGGCCGCTGCTGGTGGACCTCACGGTGGAGGAGGGCCAGAGGCTGAAGGTGATCTACGGGTCCTCGGCCGGCTTCCATGCCGTGGACGTGGATTCGGGATCTGTCTACGACATCTATCTGCCGACACACGTAAGAAAGCCCACTCTGTGGTTGGTTGGCTGCTTCTTTCTGTCCTGACTCTCTTTACTCTGCTTAGTCAGCTAACACAGCAGGGACTCCTCCTTCCCTGGCGTGGGGGTGAGTATTTAGGTGGCACATCGGCCGTGCCCCGGCTCTGCAGCCCTGCTGTGACTAACAGTGGGCGCGCAGGGGCAGTCGCTGGTAGTCAGAACACCCCTGGAAGGACCATAATTTCTTAAATGGAGCCCACAATCTTCATGTGATCCAGGGACCTCAGAACACGGGAACTCACAGTATTTGACCTGGAAAAGTAGACTGGGATAGAAGTTGCAGGGGTTTCCCCAAATGTGACCCCGTTACTGGGCTTGTCACCAGGAGTGTGAGCCCGCGAGCCCTTCCGCAGGGACGGCAGTGGCCACGACCCTCTGCCCTGTGTCCCCGCAGATCCAGTGCAGCATCAAGCCCCACGCGATCATCATCCTGCCCAACACGGACGGCATGGAGCTGCTGGTGTGCTACGAGGACGAGGGCGTCTACGTGAACACTTATGGCCGCATCACCAAGGACGTGGTGCTGCAGTGGGGCGAGATGCCCACCTCCGTCGGTGCGTGCCCGCCCGGGAGGCAGCAGCTGTGGGAATAGCGAGTTCTTGGGAGCTGCATGTGTTTGTCAGCAGAGTGGTCGGTGTGCACAGTGGGAGTTAGACTGTAGACCAGGGGACTGCTATAAGACAAAATCCAAATAATTATTTAACACACTTTAAGCTCTTGTTGACAGTCCTTCATTTCATTCTTAAGCCATCCAGGGGAAGTGGGCCGTGTTGGCTGACTGGGAAGAGGGGAGGCAGGCGGTGTGCTGGCCCCTGCCTGGGGCCGAGACACGCCAGGAGCACGGCCTCTGTTCCGGGAACGTTCACGCCGAGGCAGGGGCAGGCGCTGGCCTTCTCGTGGTTTTCAGCTCCGACTGCTGGGCTTTGCTGCCGTGGAGGCGCTGCCTCCTCCACAGCCAGGCCTCGGCCGCCTCCTCGGGCAGGTCGTTGGAAGGCAGCATTAGGCCATCACCTCGTGGTCCTCCTCAAGCCTCAGGACAGACTTAGGGAGACGAATAGATTCAACCAGTGAGTGGAATGACAGCTCCCAGGATAGGCCGCGAGCTGGTAGAGCAGAGCTGACAGCAAAGCTCTTAAATGCTCGTCGGTTAGGAGCTCGTGCGTGTGCGCATGCGCGTGCACGTGTTACATAAGCAGCCTCTTTTAAAGGCTATTTCCTTATTTTTAACAAGATGTGTCTTTGCCTCCAAAGCTTACATTCGGTCCAACCAGACGATGGGCTGGGGCGAGAAGGCCATCGAGATCCGGTCTGTGGAGACGGGCCACCTGGACGGCGTGTTCATGCACAAGAGGGCTCAGAGGCTGAAATTCCTGTGTGAGCGCAACGACAAGGTACCGCTCTCGCCGCGGCCTTCACAGTGGCCGCCGTCTCCCGGTTCCGAGCTTTCCCTGGGTTTTGATAGGTTCCCACGTGGGGCATCAGGAGCTTTTCAGGAGTGGATTTGTAGACACGTTTACAAGCCCCTCCCACACGAGCCCTGGCTCACCGAGCCCAGTACAGGGCCTGCCTTTCTCACAGCTGGCCACGTCCTGCCTCCCGCTGTCCGATCGCCCAGGGTGCCTCCCCGACTGGCTTTAGGACGGGCCGTCACGGCCAGGGTGTGGGACAGCGAGGCAGGGGGCCTCCCCAAGCCAGCCTTCTCTGCTGCTCGCTCGGAAAGCATGCAGCAGCCTGTGCTGGCTTCTGAGGGGAAGGGGAGATCGGAGAGACAGGAGCTGTGGGCTCTCAGCAGCCCTTGCGCCCCCTCCCCTTGCTGCAACCTGAGGGCCATCCCCCAAGCGTTTCCCTGGAGAGCCCGCAGGCTCAGGCCCCCGGACTGCCCAGCTTTCTGGCTTGTGTGTCCGTGTTTAACGTGGCTGTAAGTTTAAGCTTCTTTAACTTCCGTTAAACAATTTCATCACTCATGACGGCATGTCCTCAAAGTTTTATAAAAGGCACAAACTGAGTAACTTTATAGTCATGAAATAACAAGTACATTTCAGCTTAATTTTTTAAAAGAGAAGAACAGCTTGCTGAGGAGTCCTCCCCAGTTGTCCATGGAGTTTTCTTTATGTTTAATCATGCATGAGCGTTTATTCCAATAATGCCAGCACCAGGGCCTCCAGAAAAATCTGCTCTACTCCCTTCCGGAGCAGCCACTCATGTCGGTGGAAGGACAGATTACGTGGGGAAGTGGGTGTCACAGGCACGGGCGGTGGGCAGGGTATGGGTTACAGGCCAGACAGCTGGGGGTCGGAAGGGCAGGTGCTTCCGGGACCGGGTTGTTTTAGCAACAAGGACAGCAGTTCTCGGGAAAGGGGGTGGACGGCCTGCATTCCGAGGTTCCCTGCAGAGTCCGGCGCACGGCTTTCAACCAGGCTGGCGAGTGTTCCGCCGCCTCCTCCTCCTCCTCCTCCTCACTGAGGGACTCCAGCCACGCAGGGAGCCCCTGAATCCTACCAGCCTCCGTTCTCCACAGGGCCACGCCCGTGCTGTTCCCGGCAGCTCGGAGATGGTACCCTCCCGGAGCTTCCTGAGCTCAGGGTCTGGAGGCGTGCCCGTGGCGGTGAAGCAACAGCCCAGTTTCAGGAGCACCCTTCTTTCCTTTGGACGTGCTCACAGTCTGACTGCACAGGAGTTGTTTCTCCTAGTTGTGGCACACGTTGTAAATGAGACATGGCGTCCTCCCAGCTTTCCATAGAAGGAGCCCTGGGGTTCCCCCCCCCACCCCCCCGGGGGGCAGCGGCGGCGGGCGGGCTCTGACCCCTCCTCTCTCGCTCACAGGTGTTCTTTGCTTCCGTGCGGTCGGGCGGCAGCAGCCAGGTCTACTTCATGACGTTGGGCAGGACCTCCCTCCTGAGCTGGTAGAGCCACGGCCGATGCCGCCGTCTTCAGACCGAGGGCTGCAGCTCGGCCGGAGCCGCGTGCCCGGCAGCAGGACGCCGGCAGCAGGACCGGACCGTGCGCGGACCTGCGGCTCTCCTCCCTCCTGCTCTCCCTACAGTTTGTCCCCAACCTTTTTAAACGTTTTTTCTTTAAAAATAAATCAGGCTGCAATGCAGCTGGTGCTGTTCAGACTCTACCGTCAGGTGCTATAGTGTTTGGGATCGAGCATCAGACCAGACCAGAAAGCAGACACCTTCCTCCGCCAGAACCCCTTGGAGTGACTGCGGGTCTGTGGCGGCGGCGCCGGGCGGGCACGGTGGCCGGTGGGGTCTTGGGGAGCAGGTTGCAGAAGCGAGAGCGGATTTGCTAGCGTAACATTAACAATGTATTTAATTGACCTTTCTTTTTGTAATGTGACAATATGTGGACGAAGAGGAAAGGGCAGGTGTAAGAAGTTAATATTTATAAAATGTGAAGACAGTGACTAGGTAACTTTTGTGGGTGGGTCTGGGGAGGCGGGTGGGGTGGGTGAAGGGTCCCATTTTGTTTCTTTGCATATTTTGTTGGTTTCGCCGAGAGCTCAGTCATTTTTCTGTGCCAGGTTTTGCCTGTATCGTGTGCAGGTGGTTCTGGAAAAGAAAAGGGAAACGTGTGCTTCCGTGTCGTGGCCAGAACTTCGCTGTGTGACAGGGTCAGCGCTGCCTCCGCTGACGGCTGGTTCTGTTAAACCCAGATGTGCGTCAGGCTTTACCCCCATCTGCACTTGCAGAGGAAAAAAAAGTTTTCAACCACGTTTGTTTGTTTTCCTACCTCATTGTTTTTAATGCATTAAGAGGTGGTTTAGTTTCTATGGTTTTGGAGGAAAACATTAATGCTTATCTTAATCTTAATACCAAACGATCAGGGTGAAGTCTGGCTGCACGTGGGCACAGGTGTCAGCAGGCACCGCGCGCTCTGTGGTGGGCCGCTGTCCCGGACCAGCGCCCCACCCTGTGCAGGCGGGCGGGTAGCAGACAGGCATCGGCTGAGCGGGCACACCGACTGTCCGGGGCCGCAGGGCCTCTGGGTGGGCTCAGCCGCCCTGAGGCACAAAGCGCCGGCCCCGGCTGGGGAACGTGGAAATCCTGCTGTGCGTGAGACGCAGGGCCCGGGCTCCCGGCACATGGCAGAGCCCGGCTTCTGCTTTCTCACCCTCTTGTTCTTTGTCTTTTAAACCAACTTCACTTCATGAACATGTTCATGGCATTTGTGATAATGTCTTGGGTAATCTTTTGTTCCTGGCTTCCTGTCACTGTTCCTCTGAGGATGTCAGCGGAAAAGAGCCACGCTTGGCGGTGGTCCTGCCCGTGGCCCTGCCCGTGGCCCGGGCACCGTGCTGCCGGGCTGCGAGCGAACCCACCGACACGCGGGTTTGAGTTGAACAGAATTGAGTTCGTTACTGGGCCTGGGGTACCAGCTCAGCTGGCCACTGGTCCCTGGGGGTGGGTTGGTATGTACGCTCCGCGGCTGTGGGGTCACCGCCAGGGCCTTGTCAGTCAGACTTGCTACAGCTTGAAGCAGGTGCCCAATTGGGTTTCTCCATAAAAGATTGTGAACTGTTAGAATTGCATTCTTCTAGAGAAAGGATGATTTTGTTCCTTTAAAGGGTGATTCACAGAAGTGCCAAGATGGCGGAATTACAAAGGAAAGCAGTATTATGGCGCTCCCGTCAAATGCGGGGCCCGACGGGGGTGCGGAGCTTTCACACCAGCGCCCGCCGGGCCGGCCTGCGCGGGTCGGCACTGCAATCGGGCGATGCTCCCTCCGTTCTCGCACACGTTGTGTTGGAGAGGATGTTTACAAAAAGGGGTTTGCTACACTAACGTGCATCACATATTTATGGGTTATTTTTAATTGACTTTTTTAATGGGTTTAGGTTTTTGCCCTAGTTGTAGTTCACTTTTGGATCCATAATCCCTAATTTTGCCAGTTATCAGTGTGCTAAACGGTAACGCGCCTGACCGGCCACAGCGGATTCGCCAGCCGCACAGCTGCACGGCGGGCCGGGCGCAGCCTTCTCTTCTGTGCTAACTTCTGTGAATTATGAAAATTACTGTTGTTCCCCATTTTTTCTATTAAATAAAGTAAAAATGACACCTATTTTCAAATGTATTCTGTTCTTTCAGAATGTTTTCTTCCCGTAAGGACCCATATTTAATGCGTACTTTCCCCCTCACCGCCCGCGCACAGCAGGCTGCCCGGGGTCCCCGGCACGGGCTGGGAAGTCACAAACGTTTGTTCAAAGATCCGGAATGAAATTGGGCGTGGGCTCTCGAGCACCACATTTTTAAAGACAAGGAGTGAAGCTGGTCCTTCAGGAAAGAACGGTTCTGCTTTGCAAGTCTGAGTTGGGTCAGAAAGTAGGAGAGCACGTTGTCTGCTCCTGCCAGGGCGGTTACAGCAGCCCTTTCTCCTGGGGCGCGGCCATAATGACACGTCTAACACGGCTGGCTCCTGGGCATCAGGTAGCTGCTGGCTGTGCCTGGCGGTCCCCGGGGTCAGCAGGAATGACCCCGGATGCGTCCGGGCCCTGCCCTTGGCCTTCCGCACTTTGCCCAAGCCTTGGGGTTAGACAGGTCGCGCGCTGTTATCAGTAAAATGTTAATAAGCCAGCTCCTTTGCACTTCATCCTAGACATGTCATTTCTGGGAGCTGAAAATAAAACTAGCTAGGCTACATGAGTATGGGTTTTCTTTTCTGCTGGGTGTGTTGCAGCTGGTGATGGTTAACTCCGGTGCTTGCTGGTGGTGGGCACCGTTCCTGCTGGGCCCACTCCGGCATTGGCTGAGAGCCACCTGCAGGAAGTGGCAGACAAAGGCGGCCCAGCACTGACCCCAGCGCCATTGGTGTCACCTGAAGGCCCGGCTGCCTCAGACACTGTCCCCACAGCCTGGGCCCGCCGCTGCGCCCGTGTGAAGGCCTTTGATTCCAAGTCTTCCTCCCAGTTTGCTCAGAACAGGAAGTTTGCTTTTTTTTGTTGTTGCTTTGTTTTATTTTTTAATTTTTAAAATTTCTTTATTGATTAAGGTATCACATATTTGTCCTTATCCCCCTATTCCCATCCCAAACCCCTCCCCACGTATGCCCACCCCCTGTTGTCCATGACCACTGGTTAGGCTTATATGCAAACACACAAGTCCTTTGGTTGATCTCTCCCCCTTTCCCCCACCCTCCTCTACCTTCCCTCTGAGGTCTGACAGTCTGATTGATGCTTCCCTGTCTCTGGGTCTGTTTTTATTCATCAGTTTATGTTGTTCATTATTTCCCCTAGATGCATGAGATCATGTGATACAAGAAATACACTTATAAGACCCAAAAATGAGACAAGCCGTAATGGTTATGCTGGGAGGCAAATGAATCAGTCTGTAGAGAGTTTCTTTCTGGGCCAATAGTTCTTTTGAGTCCCAATTTCAATGTCAAACATGTGTTCATGTCAGCAACGGTATTTCAGTTCTAGATGGTGGGCAAATGGTGGTAATGCAGGACCGATCCTCTCTGGTTTGGTCCTGGGCAACCTGCAGTGACACACAGCTGCTGACTGCTATCGATAGTATGGCAAGGCGTCATCAGCGTCTTCCATCTCTGGACTGCTTCTCTTCTGTCTGCATGGCTGGAGCACTCCTGTCAATTCCTCTCTGTTGCAGGAATCCACATGGTTTTGGAATTGTTTTCTGAAAATATACAAACATATTCTCCACTAAAAGTTAATAAAGGAATCTTTTCTATATAATTGATTTGAGATCCTTTTTATTTTGCCCAAATGATTTTTCTTTGTCTTATTTAGACACCATGTGTGTTTTTCATGGGTATCTTGCTGTTACCATTACAAATGAAAATTAATTTTCTAAAGTAAGAATTTCCTAAATGTAACTTACTTACAGGATATTTTTCCTTACATGATATTCTTCTACTATTCCCCTCCCCTTTTTTTAATTTACATATTAGGAGGCTTTTGGAAATTTTATAATGTAGTCTTGATAGCTTTTAAATTTTAATTTTTTGCACTAAAATATGACTGCTATAGGTTCATTACATATTATGTAATTTTACCATGAGATGAACTACCAATAAAAATTTTAGTTAACACTTTAGGAACAGCTTTTTGTCCAGTATAATTAATTTTTCTAGAATATTCAAATATTTCAATTAGCCAATTTAAATTAGTCTGAAAACTTGACTACTATTTTACTGTCAAATGCAATACTCTAACAACAATCTTATTTTACCCTGTAAATATTAGTGGAAAGGATTATTTGCCTTCTTGAGTAGGCCCTGAGCATTCCTGGTGGTAGGTTGGATTTGGGTATTAAAAGCCCACTTCTCCACACCATGAGTACAAGACAACTCAAACAAGTCTTGTTGCAGTGAGAAATTTGAATGTGATGATCCAGCTTATAAAATTCTCACCCCTGGTTTGGTCTAAGTCATAAAATGCTGAGCACGCCGACAGAGGCTCTGGGGGGACCTGCATCAAGTTTGGACAAGCTCTTCCACTCCTTAAACTTGTGTGGAAGTTGTACATAACTACAAACCTCAGAAGTCAATGTTTAGCAACTGTTTTGGCGACAAATGATACTAAATTCTTTTAACAGCTGTATTGAGATCTAATTTGCATACCATACAGTTCATCCATTTAAAGTAGTTTTAGTGGCCTTGAGTTGTTTTTATTATCCCAAGAAGTCATCCACACCCATTTGCCATTATCCCTTCCTCTCCTCACCTCCCATCCTAGTAACTAAGCAACCACTAGTCTTTCTCTCAAAAGGGACCTGCCTCTGGGCATCTGCTGTGGAGGGAGTCACATTGTGCACCTGGTGACTGGCGAGTTGGTTTGTGACGGTTCACCAGTGCTGTGGATGGCCTAGCACTTGTTTCTTTGCATGGCCTTCCTTGGTCCGAACCTCGGTCCCTGCCGCCCTCCTTCAGCCTCAGGACCAGCCATT